ACTACGTACCGAAGCAATTTCTCTCTCTGGACTGGCTTTTCGTTTTCTCTGCGTGCTTGTATTTTTTTTTTTTTTTTGCCTAATGGCTTATGCAGACCTCTGTACCATCCAGGTTACTGAAGAGTTGAGTTTGTGTGCTAACGAACCCACAAGCTAATTAGAATTTCAAACCAAGCACGACACTCAATCCAGCTCCTCACCAGTTGGAAAAATACTATTTCACCCCTCACCCGTGCAGAATTAATCCTGTTAATGGTGAACATGGGTTGAATAATGGGACACTTATCTGAGCCGGACACGGGCACTGAAAAGCTCTTTGGTGCAATGGCCATGACATGCCTACAGCTTATGTTAGACATCTACTGCCTTTGGGTAAAGTGGGGGCCAGTAAGGAAAGGGATGGACTAGAGTAGATTCTAAAACTTGAAATTTATAACTTGAAAACTGCAGACACTAGCTCAATTATTCCTGCTTGAAATTCACTCAACTGGGAAGTACAGCAAAGCCTGCGCTGTCTTCTGTAATGATAAATAAACCAGGATTTACTAGGTCTAACAAATCATCAACTTAAAGGGCCCATATCATACCATTTTGTGATCTATTGATTTTATAATGTTTCCTCATCATAAACATATCTGGAGTTGTGCTTTGTTTCATTCACGTTTTTATGGACATTGGCCATCTGAGTGTGCTATGCGTTTTTTCACTTTTGTCTTGCTGCTTCTTGCATTTGTACCTCTACGAGAATTTTGGTGTGTGTTTTCTGTTTCTTTTCATTCATGTATTTAACACACAAACCCTGCTTTAGTTCTTCTCTCAAACTGAAAACACTTTGTGATGTCATGGTGTAATACAGGAAGTGTGCCACTGTGCTTTTAAACTCTGGGCACCTTCACTACAGTCATTTAGATACTTTACGCCATGGAATTTCCTATTTCTTCTGAACTAAAGGTAAAAGTTAGCCCGTTAACTTGAAAACTACCTCTAAAGGGTTACTCAAACATGTGTTAATGAAACAAAACACAACTCCAGGTATGTTTTTGAGGAGATAACATCATTCTAACATGGCTTAAATCTCACAAAAGTCACTTTTGTGTAAAATAGGACTCGTAATAGGCTGAATTTTGCAACCTATTAAGTTTTACTTTGCTGTTTTGACCTGGTTTATGGTTAATACAGTAAGTCGACAATTTCTAGGCTTGTCCACACGAAACAAAAAACTGACGCAAAGTTCACGTTCTTTGAGACCTCATATTTATCATCAAGGACAATTTGGACAAAGTGGTGGTCTTACCTAGTCATACCAATTGTCGTCTATAAAAAATGACATAAGCCACAAGATTAAGGCAAAATTATGTCTTCAATCACTAAATGAACATGAGTAAGTTTGTGGATTTTCTGCGTGGATTAGTTATACAAACCAATATATTTCAAAATATGACATCAGATTTTAATGTAATGAATACGAGCTTTTCAAGACATTTACACTCGCCGTATATGAACAAGGTGGATGAAGTGTCTTGCCCAAGGACACAACAGCAGTAAGCAAGTCTGGTAACTGTGATTGGGAAAAGCAGTGGACCCCAACAGTGGCTGGCAGGTGGTTCATCTCGTTGTAAATGGATTTCAGCACTCTCCATGAACCATTGCGTAGCTAATGTAGCATAAGAGAGGTTTTACAGCAAATAAAGGAACGGCTCTGAATGGTTCTGAGTTCACTGGTTTTGAATTGGACCTCTGCATTTAGGTTATAACTGGTTGGAAATAGCAATCGTACACGGTCAGTTTTCATGCCAATGTCAAGTCCTGATGAACCTGAAAACCACATTTGAAGAAATCTCAGTTTACTTTGTTCAGCTTGTTTGTTAATTGTTGACTTTGTGCTTCTCTCTCTTGAGCAGTTGGAGGTAGGTCTAAAAGTAATTTGTAAGAGATTAAACATGTTTATTGACAGATGAAGATAGGGCCTTGACTATCGCACAGACTCTAAAAGTATATTACGCAAAATGGACTCTTGTGAGCTTTAAGCCATGTTACGCTGCTGTTACCTCATCAAAAACATAGTTAGTTTTCAAGTTAACAGCTTTTATCTTTAGGTCAGTGAAGATCTGCAATTATCCAAATGATTCTAATGAAGGGGTACAGAGTTTAAAAACACAGTGGAGCACTTCCTGTATTACTGCATGACATTATGAGGTTGAACAGACTGTTTTCAATTTGAGAGAATAACTCTAATATGTAAGTATGCAGTGTTTGTGTGTTAAGCATGTGTGAATGAAACAAAAACAGAACTCCAGATATGTTTTTGAAGAGGAAACCATATTGTAATCAGTGAATATGGGCCCTTTAAGGAGTTCTATTTAAAAGTTCTTGAGAAATGTCTGTGGAGCTGCTGTAAGGAAAGTAAAGGGAAGTTCTCTGTGGGCCTGCATGTTTGAGATCAGCTGTTGCCTGGGCCCAGCTGCCCTGTGTGTTGACTCTGGAGTGATAGCCATCAGCATTTGCCACATGAAAGAAGCCGGACTGCAGTTCCTAAAAAAGCAGATGAGAAGCAGCGATTGAGAGACCATGTTCGGATCCTGACTACATTTAAAATTGAGATAAACCAATAATCCAGGTGTTTTTCTTACCATATCAGACGCTGTATATAAATCATTTCCTTCCTCTGTAAAACACTCACGCAGGATAAGAGCCTTTGAGGCACCGGAGTCTGTTTGCATAGTTTAGATAGGCCCTCACCCTGAGAGAACATGCATTTACAATATCACTCATCTTATGTCCTGATAGAGACAGAAATCTTCATTTACTCTGCATGCTTTGAAAGGGAGGAAACCTGTTTGAGTCATGGGCTAAAATTACCATGCTGAGGACTTCAGAGTATGCCATAAGTCTATACTGTACACAGCACTGCCATCCTTGGTATGTCCCCTAAGCTGCACTATACACTCTTTTGGCCAATAACATGCTCAGGCCATTCATTGTACAAAAGATCGTTATCATTATAACTCCTGTAGTTACACATAAGTGCTCTGTAAAATGTAAATGATACTTTAATGATGTAATGCAGTAGGTCTGCATATTTCAGTTCATTTTCACATCAGTGCTTCTGGATTTTTTTAAAATATTGGTTCTTCAGAATTACTTTATCGAATCTATTTGTTGAGTAAATGGCTGCAACTTGCGTCTTTGCACTGGCTTCCTGTTAATTTTAGAATTGATTTTAAGATTTTATTGTTTGTTTTTAAAGCTTTGAATGGACTGGTCCCACAGTACATCTCAGACCTCATCCAAATTTACACGCGTGCCTTCTGAGGTCCCAGGGCCAGCTCCAGCTCTTGATGCCTAAGATGAGACTTAAAACCAAAGGGGACAGGGCCTTCGCTGTGGTTGGCCATAAACTCTGGAACGCTCTGCCCCTCCACGTCCGAACAGCCCCCATGGTGGAGAGTTTTAAGTCTCGTCTTAAGACCTACTTTTATTCTCTGGCTTTTAACACCACATGAGTTGTGTGGTCCTCTGTTTGTTTGTTTGTTTGTTTGTTTTAATGTATGTTGTTGGTTTTATTTATTTATTGCTATTCTATGATTTTGCTCTTATTTTATTTTATTAGTTTTATTATTTAAAGACTAGTATGATTATTTTAGGTTATTTTATTTTTCATTTTGTTATTGTTATTATTATTATTATTATTATTATTATTATTATTATTATTATTATTATTATTATTAACTGTTTGTGAAATGTGCTATAGAAATAAAGTGGATTGGAACTTTACAACATTGGCATTATCAACCAACTTTGTCAAATAAATAATAAATTTGTGGCCATTGTGTTGAAATCTCACAAGGAGGACAAAGTTTTGAAGCAACTGATTACTTGTAGGTGGCAAAAAGCTCACTTATAATTAGAAAACGTCAACACATTTTCACAAGGTTTTGCAGTTGGTTGCTTAGTTGATCAGTGTTTTTCTCAAGTCCATCACACAAAACTTAAAATAGTGAACTTTATATAAAACACATATTTGTTTGCTTTTTATTTGTCTGTTCTCTCCATAATTAGCTAATTAAGTTTTGTAGTGGAATGCTGTAACCACTTCCACCGCGTTACCCGTGCATGAGAACAGCGCAGGCATTAGACAGGAGTTTAGTCAGGATTAGGTGGGATTTCATTGGATGAGATCACTCCTCGTGGTTCTTTGTGAGATGGCTCCGTTTATGTTTTTTACCCTCACTTGGGCAGCCTAATTTGATGACTAGGCAGGATATGAACCACTCCAAAGCTGTTCTTATTAGCTTTGGACTAATAAAAATGATGCTGAATTGCCTATACATGTTGTGATTCAAGGATTTATATGTCAGTAAGGCTTTTGTACTTTCACCCGCAAATGGCTGTTTCTCATGTTAAACAGCGTCGTTTTGTTTACATGCGCTTAAGTCCGCCGTTTCCTTGTGTGGGGCAGAAGCTACACCCTTTTTCTACCCCCGCTATCTCTTTCCCTGCCCCGGGTCAGTTGATTCAGGGAAGTGGTCTTATTCACATGCAAATGCTGACGGGACACCAGTCATCCATGCCGCTAATTACGCCCGTGTTGGGACGCTGACATCGCTGTGAATATTTGGTAGAGCAAAGAGAATGAGTAGCAACGAGAGAGAGAGGAGGAGAAGAAGAGAGAGAGAGTAGAAAGTGAATAAGAGGTAGTGGGATAGAGATCTTCAAAGTAAAGGATAAAGTGCTCTTGGACCCTTGTGCAATCTAAGTCGTTTTACGCATAAAAGTCGGGTATGGCATCAGTATTTGGGTAACTCGCTAATGGAGTTTACGTAAGTAGGCGTAAGAACAGCAGTTTTACGGATGAGTTCACTGCCCTCTGTTGTATATGTGTACCAAAGAGCCTGTTCTTTTATTATGAAGGCGTAGAGCGGAAGTCGCAAGTTGTTGCCAGTTCGCTTGGATGTGGGTAACGTTTAAAGTACTATTGAGTGGCTCTCTGCAGCGAGCGCAGAGTCTCCAGACGTCTCTATTTTTACGCACCCAAGAGTTCACGGATTTACTTTACCTTTTCCTTCATTGCTCAAGGGAGCGTTGTTTCTGTGGGATTAAAAGTGCTATGGATCAGTTTTGAGTGTCTGGAACTGGGACTTTTGGCAAAACGGAGTTTTTTTTTTATCGCGCTTTTGGTTGGCCGCTCGCCTTCGCTTTCTCCGCGCTTGCAGAACTCCGGAGTATTTGCGGAGAGCTGAGGTTGTTTAAAACACATTTTTACGGAGGTCCTATATAATACAGGAATACTTTTTCAATCGTGTGGCAGCAGGCAGCGTTCGTGGCAAAGCCGTGCGCTTTAAAGTTGTCTTCCAAACACTGCAATGAAGAGGACTTTCATTAAAGCCTTCGACAGCATATCCTACGCAGTGGTCAGGACTATGGCTCCTCTCCGCAATTTATAAGAAGGTAAGACCTTGATAATTATCTGTGTGGTGTGTCTTGGCTGTAGGCTACTTTATTTTGTCTCCAGACTAAAAATGTATCATTCTTCTAAAATAACAATAAAGGCATCAACTCAATGTACTGAAATGGAAAAGTTGGAGCTTGGTTAGTAGTTACTGTGTCGGTACCACTCTTGCCACTTCTGACCTCACAGGCGCTTAAATAGGCCGTCTGGGGCCATATTTAACCCGTGTGTTTGGATCTAGCACTACGGAGTGGTTTATGGTTGTAGATGTCCCAGTGTGGACGTGGTCTGCTGCGTCAACCCCCACCCACCCCCCGGAGCGAGGTGCTCTTCTGCGCCCTCCCAAGCACAAAGCTGCGCTATGGAATAATAGCTCCCCAATACATGTCACCACGCTTAAACTGGCTCTTTTTAGGTATTTAGGCTGATTATTTGTATGTGTATGTTTCACATAACCTAATCTTTTCTTGAGACAAATGAGCTGAGGCCATTGGCTCTGTTACGTCATTAGTGAAGACAACTAACCTTTCTGAAAGTCGATGCATGGGGGTAATGATTGTTTTCAGCTCGGACTTGCACTTCTTATAAACTAGTTGACCCGTTAACTTAGCGGCTTTTGAGCTGCATGTCCGTGCATTTGCACATGAATGCGCAATGATGAGACTTCTTCAGCTGCTTGTTCTGGTGTTACTGTTGAGCAGTCATCTTCTAATATTTTAACACCCCCAGGACGTTTAAAAACTACCATCTTGTGTTTGTTGTTGCCACTCGCAGTTGAATGAAATGAATGCAATGAAAATACAGCCACTAAGGCATCCAATTGTGACCAAACGGGCCCGCGCACCAGCACTTTATGGAACAAGTCAAACTCTGTATGAATAAGTAATGTGATCCCGACTTGAGTGTAGGATGGCTGCAGTTGGAAAGCGCCCCAGTTTTATGTAGCAAAAATATCTGTATGTATTTTTATGTATGGTCTGCACTTCTCTACCACTGCACACGTTGTATTCGGAAACCGGTGAAATAAAGTGCAGTTTACGAAGAGTATTTACTTCTTTCATTTGTTAGTTCATTAGTTGGCTGGACTGTTATTTGATCTGACAGATGTGTCCTCTTTGCGTTTCCCCAGAACTTATTGCATCTGGTTGCTAATTGCTTGCTCATGGAATACTTCGGTGGGGCCTGAGTCTTGTAAAAAGTACACCTCCAAGATATATAAATAAGCAGGAAAGGAATGAACACTAGCCTTGGTATGTTTTGAGGGAACATAGTGTATTGTTATGTGCTATTATATTGGTTGTGTTACATGCTGTTTTCTCATTCAAATGTCTGCTCCCCTGTGTTAGTTACTTTGCTTAGAAATAAGTATGGGTAATAAAGAAGCTAAATGTTGTGTTCATTTGATACTTTAATGGTCCACTATGTAACTTTTCTGTTGAAGGATTTGCCACCTGTTTCTCTCCATTGAGCTGTTATTGCTTAGCTTGGAAGGTTTGACACGACACTGTTAAACTTTATTTCATTACACAGGTTTTTATTGCAAAAATGCCTTGAATAACACACATTCTTACAGTGAGCAGGCTTGCATCTCCACTAATCTGACCTGTAACTTGGCCTGGTCGTGCACCTGCTTGTTTCCATGGAGATAGATAATATTCCAGGCAAAGTAATAACTTATTTATCCACAGAGACAAGAAGCTGGCACAGACCCATCATTAGAAAAGTTACTGTTTTGTTTGCATAATCCTTAATTATTAGTTTGTCTACATCTCCAAAAAGCTCAAAATGCTCTGTTCCATCTTGTGATGTCATGAAGCGGTACTTTTCAGATCAACAGCTACCATTTACTTCACCTTTACTTCAGTAGAGATTGGCAACTCCATGATTGAAATCATCCAAATGATTCTAGTGAATGTGTATGGAGTAAAAAAACATATTGGAGCACTCCTGTATTACCACCTGACATTGAGTGTTTTCTGTTTTTGGCAGAGTTTGTGTGTTAAACATGTGTGAATGAAACTAAACTCCAGGTATGTTTTGAGGAAGACACAAGATTATAACATAAATCAGAAAACAGCATAATGTCGGCGCTTTAAATACTTTTGCACTCAGGTTAAAATCTCTGCATGGTTAGATTTTAATACACTTTTTGTTGACCTATAACAACTTAAAGCAAACTAGTTAGTGATTAAAGATGCTGTTTCCATGGATACAGCGCTCGCACACAGGAATAGCCAATGATAATTAACCTGATACAGTGAATGATTGCCCACTGACATCGTGGAGATAAGGACGTAACTACCCCCCAGGCTTCAAACTACCCCACCACTGGGACTGACCAATGAGGAGGCAGTTTTTACAATCCCCCCAGGGACTGAAGAGAGAATCGGAGGTGAAAGTGGCACCTTTTATGTCATTTATTAGGTGTCGTTGGTGGAGTTAACTTGGGTTACTGGAGTTCCTAAATCTCTCCTAATTGAAATGACATTGATTAGAAGATTAAGGCTAAGCAAAAGGGGAAGCACTGTAGTCTGTGGTGGTTTGAAGAAGTGCGTGGAGTAGGCCTACATGTTTTAAATCATGCTAGTTTTATATTTTTTAGTTTTTATACTTTTATTTGATACATTTATGTGTCTTCTTAATAAATTGTAGAGCTGGGAATCACTGTGTCCCTTCTTATACGATACATGATACATGGCTCACAATATGATATTATCACGATACTGTATCACAATATCACAGTTTTAGCACACCCCTAATAAACAATATTACTCATACTTACTAGTAGTACTTTTGGCTACTCTGCTCTGCTCTCACACCTTAGGAAGTTAATTTGTGCTGAGTACATATCTGAGGAAACAGAGGGAAAAAAATAATAAAAATCACGAGCAGCTCTGCTTGCGTCTGAAATGTAGTGTGAAAGTTTTTCATCAGAAGGAAAGACATTTTATCCAAATCTACATAACTATCTCCAGGCCCACAAATAACTTGTAAAGGTCCTTTATTACACAGCTTTAAGCCATGTTAGAATGTTTTTAAACCCTCAAAAACTTACCTGGAGTTGTGTTTTGTTTCATTCACACGTGTTTGAGTAATCCTGCGGTATTCGTCTGTCTTCATCTCTGAAACTCAAATTCTCTGTTCCACCCTGTGATGTCATGAAGCTGTAGTTTTCAAGTTTACAGCTCCTTTTAACTTTAGTTCAGTAGAGATTGGCAATTCTAGGGCTGAAATTATCCAAATTATTCTAGTGAAAGCATATGGAGTTTAAAAACACAGTGGAGTGTTTTCCATTTGGGAAAAGAACTCACTCCAAATATGCAAGATTTGTGTGTTAACCATGTGTGAATGAAACAAAACACAACTCCAGGTGTGTTTAAGATAAGGAAACAACATTATAACATTATAGATCAGAAAATAGCGTAATATTGCCCCTTTGAATCATCCATGTTGTTAAAAATTGCCCTTGAAGCTGTTACATTGCCTCTTATTTACCTCTTTTGCCTATGTCCTTCCTCAGCAACATCACTACCCCATTTGTCACATCCATTCAGCTCACTGTCAATAATATCTGACCTCTCCCCCATGTAATATTTATGTGGTGAGGGTGAGAGAAGGACTGTGAAGTGGCCTGCTCTACCATAGACTGCAGTGTTGGGCATGTGGAGATGGATGCTGACAGTTCATGAATATTCAGTTGGTGATTCGGGGTTGTATAGTTTCAGTTGGTTGAGCATTCAGCCACAAGCCAAGTGTGTAACTTTTCTGGATAAAGTGAGGGGTTTATGCTAATTTGAACATTTTCAGATTTTTTTTACTGTTCCTTGGCTTTTGTTAAATATATATCTTTCAAGAGCGTATTCAATGTTATTTTCTGATTTGTTATAATGTTTCCTCATCACAAACATACCTGGAGTTTTTTTTTTTTTTTTTTTTCCACACATGTTTAACACACAAATCCTGCATATTTAGACTGAGTATTTCTCTCAAAAACAAACTATCCACCATGTTACGTCATGTGGTAATACAGGAAGTGCTCCACTGTGTTTTTAAACTCCATGCACCTTCACTAAAATCTTTTGGATAATTTCACCTCTGGAAATTCCATTCGCTACTGGAAAAAATGTTCAGAAATTATATTTACTCTTAACTATAAGTGCAATAAGAAAGACACAGCGCTGCACATTATAGCAATCAGCTTGATATCACAATTTAATTTGGCAATTATCAAATCACAAAGGCCGCAATTATTAAGGTATTACAAGAGTTATCTACAAACAATACCTTTTTATTTAAGATCTTTTTACAAACATGTTCTGAAATGCATTAGATTCTGTTGTTTTAGCAGATCATGTTTCAGTATTCTGCCAAAAGTTAATGCCCCTTGGACATGTTTAAAAAGTGCACTGTGAACTGAATCCCACTTAGAGTTCTTTCCAAAAAGAAGTTGCAGTTGTCTCCTTTTTGCAGTGCTCACAGATGTAAAACTGTCCTGGAGGATGTTCTGTAACATTGCATACTTGAATCAAACTCAAGGTGGGCTAAGGCCAACTCTCCATATGGAGCTGTTGTCAGTGACAGATCCCAGGACACACACTCTCTCCCTCTCTCTCTCTCTCTCTCTCTTGTCCTATCTCTGTCTATCTGTTTCTCTGTCTCTCTCTCTCTTTTCTCTCTCTCTCTCTCTCTCTCTCTCTCTCTCTCCATCCTATCTCTGTCTCTGTTTCTCTCTCTATCTCTATCTCTCTCTCTCCCTCTCTTCTGACTCTCTCTTGTCCTCTCTGTCTCTCTCTCTCCTCTCTCTCCCTCTCTCTCTCTTGTCCTGTCTCTCTCTAGCTGTTTCTCTGTCTCTCTGTCTCTCTCTTTCTCTCCATCCTATCTCTATCTCTGTTTCTCTGTCTCTCTCTCCTCTCTCTCTCTCTCTTTCTTGTCTTCTCTGTCTCCCTCTCTCTCTCCTGACTCTCTCTTGCCCCCTCTCTCTCTATCTCTCTCTCTCTCTATCTCTCCATCCTATCTCTGTCTTTATCTGTTTCTCTGTCTCTTCTGACTCTCTCTTGTCCTCTCTATCTTTCCCTCTCCCTCTCTCCATCTCCCTCCTTCTCTCCCTCCCTCTCTCTCTCTCTTTCTTCCTCCCTTCCTCTCTTTCTCCATCCTATAGTGTCCAAAGTTGAGCTCCTGTGAGTGTGTTAGACAGGCCGGCGTCCGTCTACAACCTAATGAGATTTGTGTGTGCTCCGTCTGCCCTGAGGTCCACAGGGGCTAGAGCCAGCGACCTCCTGACCACCCAGACACTCTTATTCACACAGTCACCCCCATTCTCTTCAACAGTGTAGAAAAGTGCTTATGAGGACCATTATCTGCCTCTTATGGCCTTGTGTTTGCTTCATTGTATCAACCACAGTGAGCAGTGTTTTCTATGATCTCGATAGTGGCTTGAGAGTATAATGTAGGCCTAATAATATGTGTGTTTGTTTGGGATTAGTTGCTTCCTCTTTCTCTGAGTAATGCACTGGAAATAATGATCATCTAAAATAAGATAATACACCAGTAAGAGGTTGAATTAAGTAGTATTTATCTTGATTTGAGTAAGCTATATTTTGACTGTCTTGGATTAAGGTTTGCCAATAGAGCATAACATGTCTTGTTCTTAAAATAAGAAAAAGATAAAGATTTTTTTCACTTGGAATGAGTAATCTAAATATTACTTTATTCTTGTTTTACTGGCAAATCAAATTTTCAGGAAGTTTCAACTCCACATTACGATAAAAGGTTTGTTTTATGAAATTCCTGCAGATGATGTGTCACCTTCAGAATGTTATGGAGTTCCTCTAAAGCTCCACCACAAACATTGTAGCCAAGAATTTTATTTTATTTTATTTTTTTATGTTGGTTGTTTTTATTGCACTGAAAAACTTGTCAGCAGGCTTGCATCCTCACAAACCTGACTCATATTTGGTCTGCTGGAGGCTTCCATCTTGTGTTTATGGAAATGTTGTTCTTTTCCCTATAATCTTCTACAGTATGGCATAAAATGGATCTGTCTCCGTGGAGAATGTTCAAAAGTATGGTTTAACTTTCCAACTTTTAACTTTTCCATGGAATCCAGAAAGTCTTATAGTGTAGCTTTAAGATCATGTTTGTGAAAGAGATAAACTATCAAAGAAAATTTGGCATCTCTGAGCTCATGGTTTCTATCGATTGAACTTCATTTACTTCCCAAATGCTTTGATGCCTCTGACTTTCCTTTCTTTATTGTGTCTTCAGGAAGATCTGCATGCACTGTAAGTGTCGCTGTGAGGACCATGCAGTGACCACCATGCCCGTGGAGATGGAGAAGACGGTCACAAAGCTCATGTATGACTTCCAGAGGAACTCCACCTCAGACGATGACTCGGGGTGTGCCCTGGAGGAGTACGCCTGGGTCCCACCAGGACTCAAACCCGAGCAGGTACGGGCTTGTTCCTCTACTCTATTGCACACACCATTCACCTTCAGAAAAGTACAAAGCTTCTGTTATTGCTGTCAGTCTGAGGTAGTAGTCATTCCGCCTTTCTCCAAGCATAACTGTGCTATATCAGAATCAGGAAAAGTTTTATTGTCAGTGAATGAAATTTGCAACTAGGAATTTGCTTTGGCTTTATGGTGCAACATAAAACAATGAATAATAATACTTGTGTTCACCTGCCCAGGGACTGCACATGGAAAGCAGCAGCAGCTAAATCTGGTACACATCATCTTTTCTTTTGTAAGATTAATGAATTTGTACATGGCCTCTGACAAATAAAGAATAAAGAAAGAAGATAAACTATGATAAAATATAGTAGCTGTCACAAAATTTAAATTCTCACATTTTGATTTTTTTATACCACGGAAAAATTGTCATACTTGATACAGATAGCACAGACTTTTTAATATTCAGGTTTTTTTCTCCTATACCATGAACTCTATCACCATGTTATTAATACAAATGCTTACAATATATGACAAGTTTCAACTTTTTTTTTTTAACTTTTTTTTTCAACATTAATTTTACCATGTGGCCTCATATTCCTACTTCAGGACTGTTTATAGTGTTGACACTTGCTCAGCTGATTATCTTAGTTAGGTGCTAGTTTATAGAAAACATTTATTTATTATTTTTTTAAGATAGTTTAGTAACAATAACATATGCAGATAATTATTTCAGAGATCATTATTTAATCATTATTTTACATTTTTCCACAGTAAACCTCTTGACTTTCTGTGCAAAGCTGAGAGGCATTTCACCATAGCAAGCAGCACATTTTTATTTATTTGTTTTGTTTTAGAGTTTTGTAAAAAATAGCAGGCAAATACAGAATAGCAGACAGAGAGGGGGTAGGTAAAATCATAACTTCTCTTTGCATTCAGGCCTCAAATGCAGGACAATTCAGGATTACTCAAATATACATGACTTGAGTAAGTTATTGACAAGGGAACATTGATATACGATTGATTTAAAGCTCATAAAGGTAGATCTTACATAATAGCTCACCTTGAAGGTGCACTGTGTAATCTTTCTGGTGGAGGGCTCACTATCTGCTTGTCTCCATGGTGATGCTAATGTTACATATATATCTTACATTTATTCAGTTATAGGAGTTTCTCAAAACTACTACAAAAACATGCATTCTTACTGTGAGCAAGCCCTCTTTTCTACAGATCTGGCCTGGTAACTTGGCCTAGTGATGTGTCTGCTTGTCTCCATGGAGATAGTTAAATTAAATGCCATATTGTTGAATATTCCAGAAAAAACAACAACACAATAACATCTACATGGAGTCAAACAGATGACCTTCTACAACAAAAGTTAAGCAGTGCACCTTCAAAGTATCAATTAGTATCTTTTCAACACAGCAAGTGCTTAACAATTTCCCATAATTCCTCTCTGCTCTAAGTTAAAACTTTAATCTAGCTTTATCCATTCTTGTGTGTTTGTAAAGTAGCTGCAAGAATATAGTTTCCTGCACAGCTTAGCCTCTTACAAATGTATCCGATGACAATGGCCCTACTTGAGTTCACGTTACAATCACAGTGATCTCCATTGTTATTGCTGTAGTTTTTGTTACGTGCACACTGCTTTGTGACTGTGGCCATGTTAACTGTAGCTATGCAATGTATCATGACTCAAGGTCTAAATATTTCATTGTACTGATTCACAAAGGTAACAAATAACTAGTCTATTTTGTGTACACAGGATTTATGTTGTCTTGTTAAGTCTCTATTTTACAGCCTGATAGATACTTGCAGGATTGGCCTTGGTCCTTTTTATGACTCCAGCTAGACTCCCACAGGCAATGCGTGAAGTAGATATTGCTCTAAAAATACTGCTGTCAACTGAAATTGTTTTATTTTCATTTTGTATTTATTTTTTAATTACAATTTTCTGCATGATTATGATTTTCCGACATCACCTCAATTATTATGATATTAAAATCAAGTAAAATATTATCCTGCTAAAAGAAACTGTATTTTTAATGTCGGTTGAAATGCCTTGCGGGATAACCAAAATATATTCACAATGTCAATCACATAGACACTTGTAAACATCGGTATATGCGTTGAAATGTCAGCCTGGTCAATACCACTTTGGCAGACTGACTGAGCTGTCTCTTGTGCGTCTGGGTCACACACATGACCCCAAAGACAATTAGCCTGTCTCTGCTGGAGAGAAGACCTTTGAAACACTGGGTCATCCTGATAAATGGTGCACTGAAAAACCATCAGAGATAACCTTGGCTATATTGGGGCTTGATACACCATATCTTATAAACTGGGGACTTTCAGAAGGACAATTTAGGGTTCATCAGGTTCGTAACTCCAGCAATACCGTACGTGCTAGGGCTGGGAACCACAGGAACCATAATCTGTGATATTTTGCAGTTTTTTAAGAACCAAATACATTTTAACAACAGTATTTCTTTGTTAAACCACTACCTGTGCAAAGTTAATATGAAATACATCTATTTTATTCATCAAAACAGTGAATATTTCATTGCACATTGCATAAACAAGTTTCCTTCTAATAAATAGGGAATAGAATTGTCAAGCGGTCTCACACACACACACAAAAAAAACTTAAAGACCCCCAAAAAATTCTCCTGCCGATATGTTGATACAGTAACCCTAAGTAATCTTTCTGTATCACCAAATTTATTATCACGATACATCGATATTTTTATATTTTTGCACACCCCTTGTGCGTGAGTTCTTTTATTGACCAAGAGGTACGGTTGATGTGGGCCTTTTTCTTCACCCTGCTCCTTCCTCACGACACCCAGCCAACAAGAACAGTATTAGACAGAGAATCCAAACATGCAGCTAATCTTTGGGATCTGAACACTGGGTTAGGTTTCTACAAAGGAAGTCCCTGCTACCTGTGTGCTTCCTAGTGAGTGCACTGCCCAGTGTGCAGTCACCCGCTTGTGCACCTCGTGTTTGTATAACTGTGATAACGCAAGAGCAGCATTCGGAGTCAGAAGCCGGTAAAATATACAGAGTGATACAAAAGAGTGCAGAGAGGCAGAACAGTTCTTGCAGTTGTCTTTTGGTAAAGTTTATACAAACAAAGCTCTCCTTTCACGCTACCATTCCAGTGCCATATGACGTGATCTCTAATCCCCAGAGTAGAAAATCAACAGGAATAAATCTGGATCAAAATTACAATTAACTTTGCTCAGTAAATCTGCCCAAATAAGGGACTTGTACTGTATAAACGTAGACACTGTGGTGTTTTTGCCAGAACTTAGACTTACTTAGACAAACTTTATTGATTCACAGGGGATTTTTAACTCACACATCACAATCCATTATCACTCTAACCTACTTTTAGCTTCACCCTAAAGCAGTAAGTGATACGCCAATGATTTTGATTTGATCACAATTCAAGTAAACTTTGCATGTTTTCATTGCCTTTCAGTAGTAAAGTAAACTAAATAAAGTCATCTGTTTCTTCTAAAAATTCAGATGTCACTGTGATTAGATGTTTGAGGCTTACAGGACTACTCTAATCAAGTGTAGGCTTGAAAATATGTCTATAGGCCTGTCATAGTAACAATTTTTTAAGTGCGATATATTGCTACAGAGATATACTGTGTTAAAAGATAATACTGAAACCACTTTATGCCACTGATACATGGACAATAATGCAAGATAATCCCAGTAAAACATTTTAAAATAGACAGTATCATTAAAAGGCCTGAGCAGCAACACATAAGTAGCAGAATGATGCAATAACTAACCATAGAAGTGACTTTTTCCACCCTCTACAGTTCAAATGTTACAGAAATTATTGCTAAGAAAATGTTCACACAATAAATATTGAGCCCCAAAGTATATTGCATTATTCCAGCTTTCATAAATTGAACGATAAGTCAGTATATAGTGATATAGTGGTTATTAGTGTTTGATCTATCCATGTCAAGTTTATTAGGATGTAGAAAATTGATCAGAAAAACTACAAATCGTCTCTCATTTCTTCACTAACACCACATACCCACCGTGTGTGCCTCGTCTAACCACCGTCAAGTGGCCTGTTGAGAGACTGTAAGTGCTGGTGTGTGGAGCTGTCTTTTCCTGCGGCCATTAGCTCCAATAGAAAGCAGCTGTGAGGAGTGTAGAGCTGCTATTTACTTTAGCCGCTAAAAACACTCCTTTGAGCACACTTTGGGATTCAGCACGGTCTGTAGTTTAGCCTGTTTTCAATTACAGTTATTATCACAAGCTGCCGCTCTGTGCTGCCTACAACCGGGCCGGCCACAGGACAGCGTGCCTTCCTCTTTCTCCACACTGGAATTTTGTTGTTCAAAGTGAGATGTATAATTGATCACAGTTTTGGGGTTTTTAATACATAATCGCAAGAAAAAATAGGTTGTCAGTTTTAAAGGTGCGCTATGTAACTTTTGGTTGGGGGTCCATCACCTGCATGTCTCCATGAAGATGTTGCTTTGTCTGTAATGTCCTGCTATGGGATTAAACATATCCATCTTGCATTTACTCAATAACAAGTTATTACTGACTTCAAAACTTGTATGCTAACTGTGAGTGGGCTCGCCTCTCCACAGATTCAGCTTGTATTTTGGCCCTGTGCTGTCACCTGCTGTCTTCATAGAGATAAATATGCATAATGACATATTGTGGAACATTCCAGGCAACATGTCTACAGTGAGGAAGGAATCAGCTGGAAAGTCCCCCTGGCTGGAAGGTCACCAAGCTGGAAAGTCCCCCTGAATTGTACCCTTTATGAAAGTTAGTTAATCTATATACAGATAAATAAAAATAAAACATGTGATTCTGTATGATTTTTGAACAAATTCTGTAGCTTTTTAAGTTTCTTGTGTTTACAAATTATGTTCATGGCAAGCAGGTAAGGAAATGATCAACAGTTAGATGCTGTTAGCCAGGCTGGCGCCACCTAGTGCCTCTGCTCAGTTAAATTTTTCTCCAGCAACAAGGTCAGGAATCGGAATACACTAGACAGTTCGCAAAAACCCTGGAAGTGCAAATTCAGGCACCAGCCAATCAGCGAAGAGTGATATATTCAGTGCTGTCAACGATTCCCGAGATTGAGGCCAGAATAAAGAGAATGTTTGGTGGATTTGATCACAACCAAATAGCAGCGATTGGTTAAATGATAAAAAGTTCCTGCCTACCGTCGAGTGAACAAAATCTAAGGCTGCGAGGTCAGATGGTTTGTACGAAGTGAAATGAAGTAAAACCGGCTGATGAATCAGGCAAAGATGCTATAGGACATGGAGAAGAAAAAAACAACAACAAAACGATTTCATAGTAAACTTCTGCAAGAAAATGAGGATTACATTAATACTGATACTGAAAAAATGTGTGCCGCTTCTGGAAGGTGAACATAAACAAGGCCCCACATTTGGTCTCGCTGCATTCACATTTCATTTTATTATGATATAGATTGTTGATTTTCTAACTGGATACGTCACATACTAAATCCTGGTGAAAACGACCCCCTCTCCCAGGCACAGCAGGTACCCGTGTGCCACCCAAGAGAAGGGGGACGTTCCTGCCAAGAGAACGGGATGCTCAGGACTGGAGCTGGGACTTTCACGCCAGGGGGACGCTTGAGCTGGTATTCGGTGAAGAGCTGGTGTCGGACCATGTACAAAAAGTTACACAGTGCACCTTTAAACAGCTCTACCTTACATTTATTCAATTACAGGTGGTTTTATGCCTCAGAAATACTTAGAAAATCAATCAATACTTATCAGACTGCAGGAACCAGCGCTGTATGAGCTGATTCACAGTTATCACAGGCTGTCTCTGATGGTGCACAAATCTTAAGTGTATTTTGTAATTTTTCTGGTGGAGGGTCTGTGTTCTGCTTGTCTCATGAAAATGTTTCTGCTGATTGCCTTGAAGTTCAGCAGTAAAATATAGACCTTTCATTTAGTCAATTACAGGTGTTTTACTGCCAACAATACCTCATTCGGTTTGTTTGTCTCCCTGGAGATTGTCAAGTTGTGAAACATTGTCTCCATGGAGAATGTCAAGTTGGATGCAATTTGTGAAACATTCCAGGCAAAACAACAACATTTCCATGGCTTCAAACCCCCTTAAATAGTTCTCATTAAAAGTTGGGTTTAATTTGGACACCATTTGTAGGTCTATTTTATTTTATACTTACATTGGGCCTTACTTGAAAGCAGTTTTAGTTCGCCTGTATGAACCATTGCTTTTATTTTGCTCTAACATTCATTCCGTAGCTCTTCCTTTGCCCTGATCTGAAATTCAATCTAAAAACGTGTACTCTTTCATTTGATAGTGACTCCAGGGTGTGTTGTGTGTTTCTTAAGGGAGTGTAGTTGGATTTAGCATTAGTTGTGTTTGGGTTATTTTAAAACTGTTCCAGACTGTTGTGCACCTGCTTGGGTTAATCTGTTTGCGTGACCCAGTATGTGCTGCCAAGGACACAGCTGAAGGCTTCACTGTACCATTCATTAGATAAGACTCTTCTCTTCAACGGCGATCACTCAATCGGACCCCCTGTTACCTAGGGGCTGTGAACTGAAAAATACCACTCTCCTCACATCAATTGTCCGCTGTAACACATATTTAAATTAGCTATAAAAATTTCATTACCTATTTCGTGGTATTGTATTTGGCAATTTCGTTACTAAAACTAGTATCAAAACTAAGTACTAATTTGAGCAGGTATTGATACTAAAAAAGTCAAATGCCCAGGACAGAAATTAACCTTTAGATAGCTTTAGAATGATTTTGGGTTGTATCAGTATAGAGCACATAGACTAGTATCTGCCCGTGGATCACTATGTAACCTACCGGGACGACACAATATGCAGGGATCACACAAATATAAGGCAATATAAAAATTAATATAAAAGACTCTGTTGTCTAAAGAAAGAGTTTTCTATTATCATGGTTTAGTCCTGTTTTACACATGGTTTAGATCTGTTTTAGTTCTGGTTTAGTGCTTTTTCAGTCCTGCTTCAGTCCTGTTTTAGACCTGCGTTAGACCTGGTTCAGTTCTGGTTTAGTCCTGCTTGCAACAAAACAACCTGAAGAACTGGAATACCCATCACTAGTAGCTAGAATGTGATGCAAAAATGCCATTAGGCCAACCTACTGTCTAATGACGTAAAGAGGCAGAATAACAATAAATGTTGCCGAAATAAACCCAATTTAAAATCCACTAGAGCCAAGCCTAAGTATTTTAAACAATTCAAGACTTATGGTGAATTTTTACATCACTAAATATATCGGCAATTATATCGGCTATCGGCAGTTCCAACTTCCATTTTATCAGCGTCATATCGGCCGCAACTAAATCCATATCGGTCGGGCTCTAGACAACACTACCCACAAGTATATGTACATTAACTATTTAATTATTACCACTGAACCTTCCATGTGGACAAGCATTCTAAGACAAACTATACACAACTATACAATGTTACCACAGCTATAAATACAATTTGGAAAACACAAAAATATAAAATGTTAAATAAAAACATATATTAATATAAAACATTTTAAAAATTCTAAACTATGTATCACATCAGTCTGCTGCAGGACTATATTCACAATGGTTCTAACCTCTATCCTCTTCATCACTCGAAACAGTGTCAGAGAGGGTACTACAGTGTCAGAGAGAGTACTTATAAATAATACATGTGACTCGTATTATCTCTTTATCTTATCTAGAGGATTCCTCAGCCATTGGGTCTGTGAGATTAGTATTAACCTACTGGTCACATTTATATTCTCACACTTACATTGACGTGTGTGTCGCTTGTCAGAATGAGGAAGTATGCGACAGGTCAGTAATACATGGCCCCACAATGAGCCGAAATGGAGGGAGAGTTTCCATTAGACCTCTCTTGGTGGAACATAAATCAGTTTCATTTTATATTTGACACAAGTCTGTATTAGCCGGGAGGTCACTGCTTGTTTTAATATAGCCTTAAATCTTTTATTGTTTCTTTGCTGTGTTGGTTGAGTGCCTCCTACGTTTTAGACTGAAGCACAAGTCTGTGGCAAGTAGACTGATTAATGTATGTTTGAGTAATCTTGCAATGTCCTAATCCTTGGCTCAAGAGCTCAGAAAATTTTAAGTTTTCGCCTACAACCCACTTCCCTACTAACTTGTGATTATTCAGTTATTATCATTATTATTTCAGCAGTTTTTTAAAGTCCCATATTACGGTATTTTCTTCAGTTTCTTCATCAAAACATACTCGAAGTTTGGTTTTGTTTCATTCACACATGTTTAACACGCAGACCCTACTTCTCTCAACCAGAAAACACTCAGTTCCACCTTGTCATGTCATGTGATAACACAGGAAATGCTCCACTGTTTTTTTAAACTCCAACCAAGGTAAAATGTAGATGTTAACTTGAAAACTACCACCTGATGACAGACACAAACACAACTCCAGATATTTTTTTTGAGAAAGTAACAACATTCTAACATGACATAAAGCTCACAACAGTCAATTTTGTGTAATATAGGCCCTACCTAACAGGAATGCAGTAGTCTCATTTCTATTATTAAGCTATTTTAGATACATTTTGCAGGTTATAATTAACATCATATAAAGTCACAATCTGCATAATGTCTATCTGTTAACTCAGTGTTATGAAAAAGCATAAAAGAATTCGTACAATCATTTTTCTTTGTTGTATTGATGTTGCAATAACTTTGGCATGAAGTGTTTAGTGCTTTTTATTTTCATGATTATGTTGTTATTAAAATACAGACAGATTCCGGAGTTTTCCAAAGAACTGATTTATTTTTGAGATGAGGGACTTTCCAGGTTTTTAGGTTTTGGCTTCAGGTTAGTCTCTGTTGAAGTGGTTGGAAGCCTGTTACAGACCCTAATCTTCCCTAATCCATCCATCTCCCCACAGGTCCACCAGTACTACAGCTCCCTGCCCGAGGACAAGGTGCCCTATGTGAACAGCCCAGGAGAGAAATACCGCATCAAACAGCTGCTCCATCAGTTACCCCCCCACGACAATGAGGTGAGCCCCCAAACTGCCCCGCCCCCATCCATTACAAACCTATCTGCCATCCAGACAGACAGACCTTCAGGGCAGCACAGATAAGAGGAGAAGATACCAAAGGGAAGAGTTTTTGTAAAAAGCAGTTTGCTATACTATCTGGTGTATCGTTTTCAACACTTAGTGGTAATAAATCATGTTCAAAGTATGTGTAAGTTTTATGATAATAATATGTTTAATTGTATATTTGATAAATGATAAATTACATTATGTTCCAACAATAATCAACAGATACATAAAGGCAATTATTTTACATCACCAATCACAAATTTAGTCTACAAATCTATAATTGTGAATGCGTTTTTGCATTCTGAAAAAATTGTTAAAGTTGAAGAAAGGTTAAGTTTGTCTTAAAAAATGTTATTATCTTGCTGTTAAAATAGCAAATCCATACATGTCCATCATCAATGAGGTGTGCTATGCTACCAAATCTGCACCTCATGGTCATTTTTGTGACTCCACAGGATTGAGGTCGGGTCAAAAGGATACTGATTTGTGATAAAAGACGATTTTCCTTGTCATTATTAAAGGTGCACTATGTAACCTTTCTGGGGGATAGTCTGCCACCATGGAAATGTATAGTTTTTCCTGAATACACCTATTTTGCATTATGTTTTAAATCTCAAAAATACTGTGTAAAAATGTACATCCTGCCAACTGCATCAACTCCCCACAGATCCAGCCTGTAACCTGGCCATGCATACACCACTAAATTTAAAGGTGCATGATGTAACTTTTTGGTTAGAGGTGCGTCACCTGTTTGTTTCTATGGACATGCCACAGCTCTGCCTGGAATGTTCCACAGTATGACATTAAACAGCTTTACCTTTCATTCATTAAATTACAGGCCATTTTATAGCTCAAAAATATCTAGAAAAACAGGCATTCTGACTGTGAGCAGGTTGCCTCTTCACAGATCTGACCTTTAACTTGGTCTGGTTTGGTCTCCGTGAAGATAGAAAGGTTTACTGCCATACTGTGAAAGATTCCAGACAAAGCAATAACATCTTCACAGAGAAAAGCATTTGACAGACCCTCCACCAGACTGAAAACATCAGAGCAGTGTCAACATTTGTATGTTTGTGTGTTTGTAGTTGCGCTACTGCAATAGTCTGGATGATGAGGAGAAGCGGGAGTTGAAGCTCTTCAGTAACCAGCGCAAGAGAGAGAACCTGGGCCGTGGCAACGTCAGACCCTTCCCTGTCACCATGACTGGCGCCATCTGTGAGCAGGTAACATCCACAGAACAGTTCATTCATATTTACATTATTATAATATCAGCAAATACAAACTACGTGTTGTAAGAAAGAAAAGGATTCCAATACACTGTAACAGTCACTCTGGACCTTGAATCTACAATAGGTGGTTTCAGATGACACCACAACTTATTATAGGCCAGTAATATTTAATAGATGGGAGCAGCTAAAATTAATATTGTTCAAAAGCAGATATTTTGTTTAATACATTGAGTTCTTGGATCTAGTCAGTAATAGAAATTATTAGGTCCAATATTTCTACTTTTATCTTTTGGATATTTAATAGAAAAGGACAATGTAGTTACTAGGAAAAATTGTCTCTTGCCCCCCATCTGGGAGCATGACAAAAATAAAAGCAAAACAGACTTCTGGATTACTTTTATAAGACGTCAGGATTATTAAAAGGGCCCATATTGCGCTGTTTCCTCATCAGAAACATACCTGAAGTTATGTTTTTGTTTCATTCACACGTTTAACTCCATACACTTTCACTAGAATCCTTTGGATCATCCAGCCCTGGAATTGCTTCTCTTTACTGAATAAAAGGTAAAAAGGTTAACTTGAAAACTACCACTTCATGACATCACAAGGTGGTACAGGGCATTTTGATCTTTAAAACTGTACACAGACTAATAACAAAGGATTACTCAAATGTGTGAATGAAACAAAACACAACTCCATGTATGTTTTTGAGGCAGCCTCATTATAACATGGCTTAAATCTCACAAGAATCCATTTTGTGTAATATTGGACCTTTAATAGGCATACAGTGCAGGCAATAGAGAAATGGGATCTTAAGACCTTTCTTCTAAATGTCAATTCTATATCCAATCTTGAGTTGTATCAAAACCGTGACCGTGCTTGTGTTCAGTGACCCGTGTGATCGAAACATTTTTTGTCTTTGTTTTGAATGTCAGGCACTCAATGAGATTCAAATCAAAGTCACTACAGATGTCCTTTTAAACCACCTTGTCACTCTCACCTCTTTATTTAGCTGTACCACAAGGATTTAAATCACCTGGCATCAGATACAAGCTCTGATTGGCTGTTTAATACTGTATGTAGATGATAGAGTCAACAGTAATAGCCCTAAAAAAAACAGCGGATATCCTGGCTGGGCCTCAGATCAAATCAGATATAACAACTACTATTTACAGAACGTCTAATAATTTGCAGTTGCATAACACAATTGGATGTCTTGTGTAATAAGTTAACTGTGTTTTAAGGAAATTGTTGCATTTTCTGCCCTGACACAGGTATTGGTGAATATCGGCAGATACTTTAAGGTGCACTGTGTAACATGCCAGCTTGTCTCCATGGAAATTTTATGGCTGTATCTAGAATGTTCCACAGTATAGATTAGACTTGTCTATCACAAGGGAGACAAGCAGGTTACAGCACTATGCAACAATACAGTTCAGATCTGTGGAGGGTCAGCCCTATTCACAGTAAGAATTATTGTATTTTTGAGCTATAGAAACATCTGTAAAGAATAAATTATGTTTAATATTATACCATGGAACATTCTAGGCAACGCAATAATATCTCTATGGAGACAAGAAGTTAGCAGACCCTTCACTTGAAAAGTTGCACAGTATGTAACTGAAAAAGCTGGATCGGTGCATGCCTTTGACTTGAGCACAAAATTTGTATACTCTTTCCACCTTTGTTAAAATCTAACCTAAGATTTCGCCTTGTGTTTTTAGTGTGGCGGGCAGATCAGTGGCGGGGACATAGCTGTGTTTGCATCCCGGGCAGGACACAGTGTGTGCTGGCACCCGGCTTGCTTCGTGTGCAGCATGTGCAGTGAGCTCCTGGTGGATCTAATCTACTTCTACCACGAGGGCAAGATCTACTGTGGGCGGCACCACGCGGAGAGACTGAAGCCACGCTGTACGGCTTGTGACGAGGTACAACAATTATCTTCTTTTAAAAGGGGAAAAAATGTATTCTACTCTCAGATGGCTAATGTCCAAAATTTTTTAATTTTAGATAACGTTTCGGCAAAAAGCCTCGGTCAGATCATTTCTTTTGCTTTGGACCTCAGTACAAAGCTCTGATGAAGGCTTTCTGACAAAACGTTTCCTAAAAATAAAAATGTTTTTGGACATCAGCCATTTGAGTGAGCAATGCATTTTTTCCTCTTGTAAGTTCTTGCATTTTCACCTCTATAAGAACTTCATTGTGCGTTTTCTGTTTCATTTGACAACAGTCTGCACACAGGGTCTGTCTATAGTAACAGACGGTTCACTATTACAATTCGATATCAGTAGTATCAAATACTAATCAATAATAACTCAGATTGAAACTAAATAATCGTTTTGACAATAAAAAAGTTACATTCACAGGACAGTAGTGAGCCTTTCCTGAATAGATATGGAATGATCCTGAGCTGTATTATACCAGTATAATATATAATAATATAAAACCACATAGACTAGTACCAAAATTTAGTTTGAAACTATTCTAAACCTGATCATTGTAAGTTAATGATTTGGTCAAAGTTACTAGCAGTCTCACGTGTGTTATCAGATATGTTATATTAGTATGAGGAAATGTATTTCACTCTGTCTATGTATTCAGACATAAGAACATGAACTATTTTTCAGCAAAGCAGTAAGAAAGTGGAGTTTGTATAAGTGATTGTGGTGGTTGGACGGGCCGATGGCTCAGATTGGCAGCCTTGCTTCCGTCAGTCTGCCCCAGGGCAGCTGTGGCTACAATAGTTGCTTACCACCACTGAGTGTGGAGTGAATGAATAATGCTCTGTAAAGCGCACTGGGTGTCATGAAAGGTGACATATATATGCAATGATTAATTAGTTCATTAATTAGAGTAACCTTATATGTAAAATCTAGTGTCTATAGAATTGTATTTTATTAAATAAAAAGTAGAGCACCTGTATGTTACTCACTTGACCCACTGATGCTCACTCTTTGTGCTTTGTTCTGTTCAAATGTAAAAATATTTGAAAACAATGCAATTTGTAAAAAGAATTAATTATCTTAAATAAAATGCACAAACCCACAAACCTCTGTGCTGGCTCAAAATCACTATTCCTGACATATTTTAGCTATAGTGTGAATGGAAGTTAAGACATTTTACCATTCAGTGCTGGCCTTGGAGCTTAAAAATACAATGTGATTTGGCAGCTGTGTAATTAAATGTAAACCCACCACTTGAACAACTCCCACTTCCGTCACAACTGGAGAAAGTGCTAATCTACAGAGGAGAAAGTGGTGGGGTTCTTGCCTTTGCCTTATTGGTGGTTTTCAGAATTAGAGGATGACAAATTTCTAGTTGGGAGGCAAGAGACACTTTTCCTATTGTTTAAACAGCATTCATAAGAAATATCCAAAAGGTAAACCCGCAAATGTTGAGTCTGATCATTTCCAGTGACTAGACCCTACAACTTTTTATAATAAAATATAGTAATATTAAATTTAAAAACATATCTACCAGGCATGTTAACAATATTCATTTTGGCTGTATTATAGGCCTAGAGAATGTTGTGACGACATCTGAAACCCACCAATACCCAATGGGAATTTAAATACTTGATAAACAATATTTTCATATCTCTTTCAGATCATCTTTGCTGACGAGTGCACAGAGGCAGAGGGGAGGCACTGGCACATGAAGCACTTCTGCTGTTTCGAGTGTGAGACGGTGTTGGGGGGTCAGCGCTACATCATGAAGGAGGGACGGCCCTACTGCTGCTCCTGCTTTGAGTCGCTCTACGCAGAATACTGTGACTCCTGCGGGGAACACATCGGTATGTATGCTCACACATCAGTTCTGAATAAATACACTGGTAATGCCCCCTTGGAGATGTGGTGTTGTAAAACTGTTTGCTTGATTGTTCACACGAAAATATTTGACTAACTCTATAAACTTGGGAAACACATTGGGACCAGATGGCAATTATTAGCACTGAACGGTTTCCCTCTGTGACCCCTGCCTTTTGTGTGTGTTTCTGCAATACAGGAGATGCTTATAGTTTAGTTTGGTTTAGTTTAATAGTCACTGGAGCATATGTTCACAGCCAGTACCAATTTATGTTGTAGTTAGATGCCATGCAATGTAGAGTCCATTTGTTGATTTGTGTTTTCTGTTGCAGGTATTGACCAAGGCCAGATGACATACGATGGTCAGCACTGGCACGCCACAGAGGCCTGTTTCTGCTGTGCCCGCTGTAAGCGCTCTCTGCTGGGGCGGCCCTTTCTGCCCAAACAGGGACAGATCTTCTGCTCACGCGCCTGCAGCCTGGGCGACGAGGCTAATGGTTCAGATTCATCAGACTCCGCCTTCCAAAGCACCCGCTCCACCCGGGAGTCCAGGCACAGCTCCAGGGTGGGGAAGAGTGGAGGAGGGGCTGGGGGGCACGCCGAAAGGTTTTCAGGTGAAGTGGACCCGCTGTCTTTACAAATGGACCTTCTAAGTCTCTCCAGCCAGACGCCCAGTTTGACCCGAGAGCCTCCTGCCTGGAAGAAGCAGGAACAGCTGTGTGAGAGCTACGCCTATGAAGCACAGTCAGAGATGGTGGCCAAACCCACCCCTCTGGAGCTGCTCAGCCAGTGCAATGTCAGGACTACTTATAGCAATGCAGCTAGCAGCCAGCAGGAGCACAGGAGACCCCTGCTCTCAGCCATGAAGGGCCATTCTCTGAATGACGCCTGGTTTCAGGGAGTTCCCGATGAGTACCACCCCCCTAAACTGCGGACTCAGAAGAGCTTCACAGAGGTGTCCCAGTGCACACAGCACCACTCTGGCTTCTCCGCAGAAAAGCGTTCTGTAAGTCTGCATGGCTTCCAGCGCGACAGAGATCAGCCCCCCTCTGCTGCACAGGTGGCCCGCAGCAGGAACCCCATCAATGCACTTACCTTCACTGAGCACCTCACCCCGCTAGAGCAGACCCCCCGAGGCTCCATGGAGTCCCTGGGCATCCCCAAAAGCATCAGTGAGTATGCCTGCTTGTGTCATGGTGTTCATTATATTATGAATGCGTTGACTTAAATGCATATGTAATGTGTACAGGTAACCCAGCTGATGCAGCAGGGAAACACCAGGAGCAGCTCTCAAGGTTTTCGATGCCAGATCTGAGTAAAGACTCGGGAGTGAACTCTGATAAGAGCAACATGAACACACTGAACTCCTCTGTGCAGTTCCGCAGCTCTGAGTCTCTGCACAGCCTCACAGCGGGACAGCCCTACCTTGAACCCCCCCACTCTGCATCGTATCAGGGCCAGTACTGTGAGCCCCCCATGGCGGTGGAGTGTGGCAGGGCTCATGTCCCTCCTGGTTTCACCTTTCAGGAGGAGGACCGCCTCAGCCTGGTGAGCAGTGCCAATGCAGCGCGCCTGCCCCCGATCAGTGAGCGGAGGCTCAGTGCTGTGGGCGGAGCCAGAGGTGGTGCATTTCACATGGATGCTCCAGAGGACACCCCCCAGAGACGCAGACACCACCACCGCCCCCGCCGCTCCAGGCGCTCTCGCTCAGAGAATGCCCTCAACCTGGTGTCCGAGCGCAGACCACGACCTCAGGATCGGCCACAGCTGCGCGTGCGCGAGGATTATGACCGCTTCCCTGTGCAGCGGAGCAGCAGAGAACATTATGGAGCAGGAGGGGGGAGGTACCAGCCCCAGCCCTTCAGACAGTGTCCCAGGACCACCTCTGACCTGTGCCTGCAGAACCCCCAGAACATGCGGCACTCAGGACTAAACCAGTACACGTGGGACGACTATGACGACGACTGGTGCTCCACATGCTCCTCTTCCTCCGATTCAGAAGACGAGGGCTACTTCCTGGGTGAGCCCATTCCCAGACCTGTGCACATGCGTTACCGGAGCAACCAGGAGCTTGGGCACAAATATAACACAGGAATGGGCGGAGGCAGCCGCAATGGACAGTTACACTCTCGCAACCGCAGGAAGAGCAAAAACTGCATCATCTCCTAACAGCAACTGTCAGTGTTGTGAATCGTGATTATACTGCATGGGTCACCCAAAGTCCGTGAGAATGATCTACCAGTGTTGGCACCTGTATTTAGTATCTATAACAGTGAACGTAACATACAAAATCATGTGCAATGTAATCCTTTTTAATTTAATTTCTACTGAGCAGTGAGCACAGTTGTGAGGCAGGATACTAATGTCAACCGTTTACTATTTGTATATAGTAAATATTAATAATGTCACTTAAGTTAAAGAAGTCCCTGTACATATGGTTGTAAATGAGGCCTCACATATTTTTATATTTTTTATGGATAAAACCTTTTATGTGTCTATGATTTAGTCATAGTAAGTGTCAGAAAACAACTTATGCATGTTCTATTTGACTGACTTGTCTTGCATTTGGAATAAAATATTTTCAGAATATGACTGAAAACTGAGTTTGTGTTGTCATTGACAAAGAAGTAGTGGTCGGAGAAGTACACAATTTTGCTACTTAAGTAAAAGTACAGATACCGAAGCAAAGAAATACTCAAGTAAAAGTATCACATGAAAAAGTCTACTTAAGTAAATAATATTAAAGCACCTGTTTAAAAATGTACTTAAAGAATAAAAATACTATTATTTTGTGCATATTTTGAGGTCTTTTGGAGGTCTCAGACAATGATAAAAAATACTTATACTTTTCAGTCCTGTTCAACAATTGTTCAAGAATTGTACAGATATCTTCTCTCAAATGCACTGAAAGCTTCACTTTAAAATCTACTAAAAGTACAGACACCTAAATATTTACTTAAAGATGCATTGTGTAACTTTTCTGGTGGAGGGTCCGTCACATGCTTTTCTCCATGGAGATGTTATTGCTTTGTCCAGAACATTTGACAGTATGGTATTAAACTTTTCTATCTTCATGGAGACCAAACCAGACCAAGTTACAGGTCAGATCTGTTGAGAGGCGACCCCACTCACAGTTGGAATGTCTGTTTTTCTAGGTATTTTTGCTGTTTATTGCCACGCTGTGGAACATTCCAGGCAGAGCAATCACACATCCATAGAAACAGGCAGGTGACAGACCCCCCACCAGAAAAGTTACACAATGCAAATTTAAGTACAGTATGTTACTACTTTAGGTCTGGCGTGCTGTAAATTGGATTGGCTGTGACGTCCATGTGCTGGGGCCAGGATTACCCACTCTTTAATCCACACACACATGCCCATATGGAAATCACAGGTAGGCTACTATGTAAAGGGCCAAGCATTTGATTAGCTACTCAGAGTCTAATTCTGTCGACATGGTTTGGCTCAATAATACTTTAAGTTCACCTAACCTCAACTTCTTCTGGGGAACAGTGTGTTGGGTTAAACTGCCTGTTACAAAAACATTATAGGTCATTACATGGACTTCATTCACTCCACATTTAAAAATAAAACGTATTCCACATAATTTAACCAATAAAATAATATATAAAAAATAATACTTTAGCTCAGTTTATTTAGTTTAAAGGTGCATTTTGTAACTTTTCTGGTGGAGGGCCCGTCAAATGCTTTTCTTCATGGAGATGTTATTGCTTTTTTGGAAGGTTTCTGAGTGTGGCAAACCTTTCTATCTTCATGGAGACCAAACCAGACCAAGTTACAGGGTCAGATCTGAGGAGAGCCAACCCTGCTCACAGTCACAATACTTGATTTTCTAAGTATTTCTGAGCAGAAAAAACACCTGTAATTTAATAAATGTAAGGTAGAGCTGTTTAAAGTCACACTGTGGGACATTCATGACATATCCATAGAAACAAGCAGGTATCAGCCCCCAACCCAAACATTACATAGTGAACTTTTAAGTCATATAAGAAATATTTTACCATGGATGGCCAAAACTGTCAGAATCGAAACATTACATTACATACAAGCTACAATTTTATAAATTTTAAAGTTGTCCTAATACATCTTTGGCCTTAATAATATAAACATATTTGTTCAAATAGCCATCTAGAGTGGACCATGACAATTTCTTTTAAACAAGCAAATATAAAAAAATTGTAGAACCTATTATTGGCTGACTGTTTTTTTGCTGTACATTATTATTATGGAAAAAAAATGCTGTTTTTGAAAGCCCTTGCCAAGCTCGCAGTCGCTCCGGGTGTGTGTCCATCTGTGTAATTAAAAGCACATGGGGCGAGTGTGGAGAGGGCCGCTACACTGCACACATACGCTTCCTGAACGGGCCCGTGTTAACAGCAGAGGAGGGAGGAGGAGGCGGGACAATCCTCAAGTTAGGTGAAGGTTTCCAGTTGGTTGAATATCCGAGTAAAATCTTAGGAACTTGAGTAAAATATAGGCAGACGGTGGGACATCAGGGCCTCTTTCTCAGGATACTTCACCCACATTGTCTACGATGATGTGTGGTGATCAGAGGGTCAGATGACACATATTGGCAGCCTCGCTTCAATCAGTGTACCCCTGGGCAGCTGTGGCTGTAATAGTGGCTTACCACCAACAAATGCAGAATGAATGAAAAATGGAATGTGAAGTGCTTTGGGAATCTTGAAAAGCACCATATAAATCCAAAATATTATGACGAGTGTGTTGTTTGTTTAATTCTCTGGTCTGTGCAATTTCCCTCTGGACCAATAAAAAATATCATTCATTTATCATGGCCATTTTATGCTTACTAACTAGCACTGCTGTCTCTGTCATCTCTCAAAATAAACTGAGATAAATTCAGCAGTAAGCCAACAATAATGTAATCATCGCTGCATAGATGGCTCTGCAAAATAAACAAACGCTAAAATCAGCAAACCCAATGGTGCATTCATTTCTACAGTACGGTATGAAACAGATGTTATACCTCTTTTACACAAGCCATAAACCTGAACATTTGAACAATAGTGTGCATTGTCCTTACATGACCACTTCTGACAGCAGGCCACTACATTAGGAAAGTATGTGGAGCTTTCTGCGCGCTTCTTCCCACAGTGAGCACAGATACTTACACTGTTTGTGGGTATGGTTTGACAGAGGCAGTTCTGATGTGTGAAGAATAAAATAAAGTGATTTAGCTGAACACTTCACTTGTCAATTGTGAATTCCCCCTGCATATGAGCCAGTTATTATTATTGCACTGTTAATAATTGCAACCAGCAGGCCCTTTATTGTATTGTCTTTTGTATGTGTAATCCCTCAGTCACCCTAGAAAGTTCCTCCATAAATCCTGCTCTTGACATTAACAACACTAGCAGAGCGGTAAGATCCACTGACCCTGCAAGTTGCTGTGTTCTTGGGCAAGACACTTAACCCACCTCGGTCCCAGTGTCTGCATAAATTTGTTTATGAATATTTGTGTGAATGGGTGAGTGGTTCTTTGATCTAAACCGCTTTGAGTGCCTTGAAGGTGGAAAAATGCTATATAAAAATGTAATAAATGTATCGCCAAAGTTCTCACAATAATATCGTGGACCCTTACAATATATCAAATTACAAGTCTTTTTGCTTAAATTAAGAGTTATGGTGCAGCAATAGCTAAAAAAAAGACAGAGGGAACTACATAGATCATGATCCTTTGCTCCATTTCAGTTTAGACAACTTTTAAGTCTTAGTTCTTTGGATTAAGTCTTATCAAGGCATTTAAAGAGTATAAAGTATCATATTAACAGTTTTAGCTGTTTAGCCTCCACAAAATATCGCAATAAATATCATACCATGAGATGTATATCGTGAAAATATCGTACTGAGATATTTTGGATTTTGTTACTTCCCTAATCGTGAGCCTCCCCACCATATCGCGAGCTTTCCCACAATATCGTAATAAATATCGTACTGTGAGGTTCATCCTGTGACGATATCGTATTGTGAGACCTGGATATCGTTACACCCCTAGTAACAAACAATTTACCATTTTGACCATTTGCCAATTCTGTCTACGAAACAAAAATTCTAAGGGTTAATATTAAAATATCGTGACACTGTTTCGTCAAAAGTCTCTCAGTAATATCGTGGGCCATCACAATATATTGAATCACAAGTTTCTTTGCTTAAATTCATTTTAATGGTGAAGATAGCTAAAAAACAGAGGAAACTACATTAACCATGATCCTTTGCTGCACTTGCTTCTTCAGTTCTGACAGAGTTCTCATCTGTCTGAAGGGAGGAGATAACTACACTAGAACTAACACAGCTCTTTAAGTATCTGTATCTGTGAATTTTATTTTGAATTTTATACTTGTTTGTTGGCTGTACCCTCTTTTCTCTCCTTTGGTTCTCTCCAGGTCTGGCAGGTTTTATCCTCATCCACGCTCTCCCGTTCCTCTTTGCATGTTTAGTCACTCACTGGATGTCTTCATACCATATCATAATAACCACGCTTTTATAGGCTAGTCCCCCACGACTCAACGCTATAGTGTGAGAAAGCATCATAACAGACTGTGGGTAAATCCCCCTGTGAGCCTCTGAGCCCTTGATTAACTCTAATCTGTAAATGCATTTGCACTTACTTCAGTGTGACCTTCGACCTCACCTCGGCTCCAACACTGACGACCCATGACTTAAGTTTACGGGTATCGAGCAAGACTACTTTTTTTTTTTCTTCCTTCTTCTTCTTTTGCAACCCATAATGAATGAATGAATAGCCTAAATAAATAAATAATACATTTCCAAAAGCATGTCTCAGTTTTTTGTATGCATTGATTTGGTGTACTTACATAAAAAAAAAAATAATAATAATAATTCATATTTTGTTTACACTTTACAAACTATCCGTAAACATATTATTGGGGCCATTATTGTAGCCTAACACTGTAAAATACACAGTAGTATGGATATTTAACTATGTGTACTTGACTTAGAGACATTTTGCCATGAGTTAATCTAAACACACTTCTTATTTCAAAGTATTTATTTTATTTTATTTTTTCTCCTGTGTTGCATCCTTTTGGAAACTACATTAGGTAAATATCGCCATCTGTTGACAAAAAGGAGTGCTTGCAACTTTGGAATTGCCACTATTCTTTTATTTATTTATTTTTTTAACTTATATCAAAAAAGAAAAGAAAAAGAAAAGAAAAGCAGCTCAAAAATACCAAGAAAACAGGCGGTTGTCTAACCACAGATATGACATTTAACTTGGTCGGGTTTGGTCTCCGTAAAGATAAAAATGATTAATGCAGCACTCCAGAAAAACCAATAACATCCCCATGGAGAAAAGTATTTGATGGACCTTCCACCAGAAAATTTACACAGTGCACCTTTAATCATAGAACAGTGACTTAGCCAGGATATAAGTAATAGTTTATGAAGTATACTATGTAAGAGTCTTTGGCTTTCACTTAAGTGCATTTTTTATACTGCACTGTTGTTATATTTAATGTTTTATCTGTTTATATTGATGGCACGGTTGGCCCAAGCTGAACCAAAAGCACCTTCCACCCAAAAGTTTGTGTGGCCCTTCGTAAATTAGGGATTCAACATTAATACTGACTAATATTTTGTTATTTTAGGCTATAGCCACATAGTCAACACACGTATGCTCACAATGTACATTTGATTCTTTCATGAGCATCTCTCCACATCAGTTGAGGGTGATGAGTCTTAAATATACCTAAATAGAACTTATATATACCTAAATATAACCTAAGTATAACTTGTTTAAGGCAATAATATCAGACTTATGAGAACACACTGATGCAAAGAGTTCACGTTAACACCAGGTATGATTCAACAAGAGCCAAAAGCCAAAAGTACATCTGTCCAACTTCAAATGAAAGTTTATTGATCATGGCAAACATATCGCGAGAATCTACCTTGCTGTTACATATCTTAAAGGTGCACTATGTAACTTTTTGTTTGGGGGTCTGTCACCTTCTTGTTTCTATGGGTATGTCATTGCTCTGCCTGGAAGGTTCCACAGTATGACATTAATCAATCTTACATTTATTCAATTATGGGTGGTTTTATAGCTCAAAAATACCTAGAAAAAAACTGGAGTTGTGACTGTGAGCGGGGTTGTCTCTCCACAAATCTGACCTGTAGCTTGGTCTGTAATGATCAATGTCTGCGCCCTCTGCTGGTGAAAGTGGAAAAAGTGAAGCCCAGTGATGACAGTGTATTGGCATCAAATGATAAAAGAAATAATAAACATTCAGGATTTTAATACAGTGCTTGATATCTAGGTAGTACGGATGTTTGGGGACAAAAAAGGACAACAAAAAATATATGTTAAGAGACCTCTCCCCAACATTGGAACAATGGACTCAAAGGGTAAAATCTGTGTAGTGTATGGAGTATTTCAGTTCTTTAAAAAAAACATTGTTGTGGTTAATTCTGGAGTACAGGCAATCAGTAACTTAACACCCAAGATGACAGGATTACTCAACTGAAAAAATAACACTTTATAGGTATATATTATAGTTTAAAACAATAGATATTTGAATTACTTTTACCTATCTCTCACAACTTCATCAACATTTATTCAGTTTCTCTTGTAAGTAAAAATTATCAGCAGAGGTTTTACCCGAGTACCAACTTAGGTGATAGAATCTCAGGGCAAATTATTATAGGCATAGGTTGTTAAGGATGCATTCACACTTGCACACACACCACACCAAAATCTGAATTAACTAGATCAAGACTAAATCAGGCCTAAAATATAACAGGGCTGAACTGAAGGTTTACAGTAGGACAAACATGGTCAGGGATCAAACCAGGACCAAACCTAAAGCCTCAGTTGACCACTCCTCTTCTCACTACACTGATAGAACATTTCCACAGGACATGCAGGGCTAAAATACAGTCTCGTAGACCTCATGGTCTGTAGTGGAGGACTTCCCACACACAGAGATGGTTCCAAACTTCTCTGAGATCTCCAGTATGGTCTTTCCTTTGGTCTCTGGCAGAATGAAGAAAGAGTATAGGCCTCCCACCACGCACCAGCATCCAAACAGCACATAGCAGTACGACCTCAGAGCAACCTGCAACATAGCACCATGTCACAGTCTTATAAATATATGAATTAAGATCTCAATTATTCAATTAATCCCTCTTTTAACAGAACCCTGCCCCATGGTCAGCAGTATACTCACACCTTGATCAAGTGAGAAAACAAGCTCATGAAACTCTGATCTGAGTTTTAACATCAGTGAAGAAGAGTCAGGCAGATATAGGAGTAGAATGAACCAAAATAAGTTTCTGTTTAAGTGTCAGTTTTGACTACCTTTGAAACATTTCCCCCTCAGTTATATGGTTGGTATAATAATGACATTGTAATGGTATTTAAAAAAAAAAAAAAAAAGCTGACAATTCAAAGTTATAAAAATGGCCAGATTTGTTGATCTGGTTTATGTTTTTATTTTTTTTATGTTTATGTTTTTTAAAGTTTTAAGACACCACAACCATTTTGTTTATGGTTAATATTTCTGTAATTACTGCAAAAACTGGTACAAAGTTCAACATCTTCTTGTCAGTACAAATAAACAAAAGAGAAAATGTTGCAGCTTCAGAAAGCAGTGCCAGTGCCACTCTCAAGATGTGACTGTTGTCAGGTAAGAGGTAAGACTTAAAGGCGTCTTTGGTAAAGGGTAATTCAGATATAAACTTAGAATTAGCAATTCTTTTTGTCAGACATGACACGTCGCTACACCATTACATGAGGCTTCTGAGAAAGACTACAGAAAGTACTCAAAACATGTAAAGCAGGTAAACAAACTCTCCTGTCTGACACTTTAAGATATAATATTAATTATTATAATTATTAAAGTCAAAGTTTATGGAACTAATCTCTAACAAATAATGACAAAATTTGTGGATTATTTTGATATTTATTTTTTAAATAGTAAATCTCTCATTAAATTGTATAGACCCCTGCCCTCCCTCTGAAATTATGACATCAACTTGAATGTAAACCTATTGGAAGCACATTTTAGACTATAGTTTTTACAATGTTCTGTGATCACAACTCTCTTGTCTGAAACAGCTTGCAATACCATCCCTTTGTCATTTTGAATATAATATTAGGTATTGCTTTATGAATAGTATTACTCACTATTAGAAAGGGAAAGATGAGACCCATTATAGCGTAAGTCGCCCAGCGATATAAGGCCACCAGGACCACCGCTGCCATCCGCTCGGACTGGATAAATATTTCTGTGTTTAAAGTCGGTACACCTCCACCTACAGACCAAAACACAAACACAAAGTCACACAGCAAGTTACAACTTAATTTAATACAGAATATTATTTTTACCTGGCCCTCCACAGAAGAAAACTATAACAGCAATAACAAACAGAAATGTGAGGTATGGAACCCAGTCAGCAGAATCCTGGAAATGTCAAATGAATGAATGCAAGAGGAATTACTTTGTGATGTATGAATAATACAGTATGTGAAGTATTTAAGAGAGGGTGTACCTGGAAATAGACAGTGACCGAGACTGATGCCCAGCTTACTGCCATGACACTATAGCCAACCCAGAACAGGGGCCTCCTCCCAATGCGCTCAATCAGAAAGCTCTGGTGAACAACATAAACAACAGATCAAAAATATAACTGAAAGGACTATTACTTGTTATGAAATAATAGGATTTTATCGCATTGTATTTTGTCTTTTGGTCAGTTCAATAAGCACAGGGCACTTTTGCAATGATTATGTTGTATCTGATTATTCATATTTCTGTAGCAAGACAACATACTTTTAAATTTTGATTTATTTATATATGTTGGAGGAATGGTAACTTACACAACAGATTGATGTGGTGATTTCTGTTGCACCTAATGCGAGGCTGACATACCGAATGTTTTCTTGTGGCATACCCGCCTTATAGAAGAGGTCATAGGAGAACGTGCTGACCTAAAGGGAAAAAATACAGCCAATCTTAATACTATCAGAGATAATGAGTTATGATTTATGTTTAGCATGGATAACAATACCCAAACTGCTCTTAGCTTAAGCAGTAGAGTAGAGATAGCTCAAATCTCATACATTCACCCAATAACTCAAAGTTTGTAGGTTGTAGCATTGCACTATTGTTCTGCCCTTGTGCAGCTTACCTGTATGAGTAGGTGGGACTATGACAGGAAGCCAAGTTTCTACTGTGTGACTGAGGATCAGTTCAATTTAATAAAGTTTTTGCAAAACCCAAACTCACAACAGCAGTTGCCGCTTAGAGCTTGACAAGATCATTTATTTAAAGAAGGGGATTAATTGCAAACATATAACATATTCAGCATGTGCAGGTTGGTACCAGACTTTTGTATATAAATGGAGAATTGTTGAGTGGGAGCATTGATGACATAGGCCTGTGGGCTGAACATTGCACAGATTCTTACAAGCAGCTGACTATAAGGAGGGTTTGAATAGGTCCCAGGAGAGATTGCTAAATTACTAAAAGATGCATGAATGACATCTAAAACCTTCAGGCATGTTTTTGATGAAGGAACAATATTATAACATGTATATCATATATGAAAAGAAAACTAATAAAGCCAAAAATATTCCATAATACCTTCTCTTTAAGCCAACAGAAAGTTAGAAAACTTGTGAAAAGTGTGAAACAGATTTTGGTCAATAACAGACAAGCAGATTAACCAACATTCATAACAAGCAAATGGATAACTATCCCAGAACATCCCTAGTTCTTAGACCCTCCTTTTCAGCAAAACAAAACAAAACAAAAACAAAACGCTGTCCATTTATGTTCAGCCAAAATTGCACAGATATTCATTTGGCTATTTTTAGAGACTAGAGAAGATCCTGTGAACCCCTCCATGATACTACACCATTCTGGGAGATTCTGGGAATACCATATGATTTGGATACTGTTACAGGCTTAGAGTTTACCATAGATATTCCTGACATCTGGTTGCAGGTACAGAGGAGGAACAGAGTGAACAGGGCCCATCTCGTTCTCTTGGACCCCAGAAGCTGCAGAGGGCTTTTGGGAGGAGCTGCTTTGGTGGCTTGCATGCTCCACCAGCATATCCTCCATCTCCTCTTTGTAGTCCCCCGGGCCCCACAGACTCTGCAGCGCTGCAATGGCACAGTTCAAAAGTGTTAAGAGAAACAGTAAATGATTACTGAAGTAAGAAATGTGTTACTTTTAAAGGAGGATGTACTAAACGTGTGTAGGAACAGAAAGTAATTGCAGTACACAGTTTCCTTATGAATTAATCATTTATACTTTTTAATATTATTTTTGTGGTTGTGTTGGGCTTAGGATTTAATTTTTTATATTTTTTTATTTGCAATTTATTCAGTGCTTTTTTTCCCCATATAAAATTAATATAAGAGAACATAAAAAAAGATAATGATAATGATAATAATATTAAGAAATTATGTGTGTGTGTGTGTGTGTGTGTGTGTGTGTGTGTGTGTGTATATATATATATATATATATATATATATATATATATATATATATATAGTATATATATATAAAACTCTAGGCTGGCCTGGGAACACCTTGGGGTCCCATTAGAGGAAGTATATACAATATATGAGATGAGGGAAGTCTGGGAGTCCCTGGTTAGACTGCTACCCCCAGAGCCCAGCCCCATAAAGCGTAAGTAAATTGTTTTCATATTTAAGAGAGGACGAGGAGTGCTTCAGTGGGTCATAAGGATCACAGTGGAAAAACTTCACTTAGACTTTAAAAAGAAAAAATCTGAAGCACTCCAACTGCATTAAAAGTCCTTTAATATATAAAATGTGATTAGACGACGTGTTTTGGCGATATGGGGCCTTCTTCAGGGTGTATTCTGAAAGTCGTAGGCTAGTCCTGTTTTATATAAAAGACTTTTAATGCAGCGAGAGTGCCTCAAATTTTTTCTTTATAATAAATTATTTTCATTTTTATGTTTAGCAACCAAGACCTGAGGAATGTACAAACTGTATCCCTTGAGAAAATGCTTTAGAAGCCAGTTGCTTTATTATATTAAACATATCTAGATAGAAAGTCTTTGTTGTGTATTACGTGTTCAGGCTCACCACTCTTGCAGGCTTGGTCATCGCCCTTCTCTATGAACAGGTATCTTGGTGGCTCCGGGAAGAATGGCAGCAGCAGAATATTGAGAACTGAGAGACAGGCGGGCACACACAGGAGCACGTTCCACAGATCCTCACGCCCCATGATCTCACTGCACAACATATGAGGACAGGGGACAGGTCAAACACTGCACTGTATCAGGAGAGTCTGTTGCAGAATACAGTGATCTCTCCATCCAGAGATTGAGACACGACGAGAAGAAGAAGAAGAAGAAGAAGAGAGGATGCACTGAGAAAGACGTGACAAATATCCAAACTCGAGAAATTTCAAATGTAAAAGTACTCATTATGTAAACCCTAATTTAGACCTGAAAGAGACCTGGAATATACTTTGTTTAAATAGGGTGGTACTCAGAGGGGATTTTAAGGTAATACTTGAAGTTTGAGAGTCACTGAAGAAAATTAAGTCAGTTGAACACACCAATATGTTTTTTTGTTTTTTTTTTTTTTTTTACAAATGTGTACCCTCAAATGTGTACCCTCAATAGCAAAATAATATCTGACACCTTCCAAAGCAGTCCCCTGCACCACCACTGTGCTACTAAAGCACAGGAGGAAATCGGGTAAAGCAACTAGACTGCACCAGCCCCTGACAATGGGATAAGTAAATGAATGTATCAAGAAAAAATAAAAAAAATTAAATAAAAATAACAACAAACACATTAAACGTCAGATAAGCAACACAACATATGACAGAAGATTCAGTCACTAGCAAGTCCAGGTCTAAAGGTGCATTATTTAACTTTTTGGGCAGAGGATCCACCAGCTGCTTGTCTCCATGGAGATGGTTGTACAGTCATCCCTCGCTATATCGCAGTTCACCTTTCGAGCTCTCTCGCTGTTTCGCGATTTTTTATTTTTATTTTTTGTGTAATTTTGCATGTTTTTTTTTTTTTTACAGCCTATGAGCATGTATTGTGTTCCTCTTCCTGCGTCCAGATTGGCTAAGGGATTGTAGACCACTGTCAATCAATCTCTGTGATTCTGAAGTGCAGCGCGATCGGGCAATAGCTGCTCTTACCGTGAGGTGCGGAGCTCTCCGTCGGTCCTTTCTCCTGCGGTCACCTCTGAGCCTGTCCTGATCATGAATCCTGGTTCAATTCTGGTTTAGTCCTGGTTTAGTCCTCCTCTTCAGTCCTGGAATCAGTCCTAGGTTAGTCTTGGGTTAGTCTTGGTTCAGGCCAAGGCGCAGGCAGCGCAAAAGTTTCATATAATTTCGGGTTAACAGGTGGGTGCGGTGTTGCACGGGTCTCTAAAAATGGACCTGTGCAGGACTCTGAGCTGTAGGCTCCATTACGGAATAAATTAATCTCGGTTCGTCATATAAAGAAGGAGGAAAATAAGATAAGGACAACAGCAGCTATAAGAGCTTTTAAGCAGGATGCAAAAAGGGTTAACTGTCCTGTCTGAGAAAAGTGTGTGGTAAGAGGTTTTACAAATTTAAAACAGATATATTAATTGTAAAATATCAAGTTGACTACTTCGCGGATTTCATTTATCGTGGGTTATTTTTAGAACGTAACCCTGCGATAAACGAGGGACCACTACATAACTTTGTGCGAAATGTTTCACAGTATTTCATTAAATGTATCCATCTTCCATTCACTCATTTATGGGTGTTTTTATTACTCAAAGAACATGCACACCTACAGTCAGCCATCCTTTGCACAGATCTGACCAGTATTGTGGTCTGTTGGCCTCTCCTGCTTATTTCCATTGAGATAATGACACATTCTAAGCAAAGCAATTACGTCGCCTTGGAGACAAAAATGTAGGCAGACCCTCCACCATGGAAGTTACATAGTGCACCTTTAAGCATACATTTTTAAACAAAAATTCACACAGTCTTTGTTTCTGTTCGATGTCGGTCAGAATTTCTCCAAATAAATACGTGGCAGAAGGACAACACATGTTTAACGATACATACCTCAGCCCAAAGAACTGTCCGGAGAGTTTACCGAGGGAAGAAAATGTAAAGGATGTGAAGGCCACCATGCCTCGAAACTTTCTCGGTGATATCTCCCCCAGGTACATTGTTTGAATGCAAGAGCTCAGGCCTGCAGATCACAAAACAATGCCAAATATAACAGATCTGTAATAATCAGTATGGTAACCACCTCTTCTTTGGTTGTCCTGCGCAACAAAATTCACTAACTAGGGGTGTACAAAAATAGTATCACGGTTTATTGATATATCAGGATACTAAATTTGGAGATATAGTTATCATTATCTTGAGCTGCTGTATCAATATATCACCAAGAGTTTGTTTGTGATAGTGCTTTTTGTTGCTTATTTAGTGGAAAGGAACGTGTTTTTGCAATAGAACTGATCTGTTCAATGTTTTGATAAATAAATAGATGTATTTCACAACCCAGTATTGTGTATCGTGCACTGTATCAAATCGTAGGACCCTGTGATTCTCAGCCCTATTTTTAACCATGACAATTTTCCTTGAGTAATCCTGTATTGGCATTCGAAGCTTGAGTTCTCAGACAATTTCAGTTTTCATCTGTCCCCATCCCTGCCCCCTGCTTTGTATACTGTGATAAAAAAATTAAAAAAAATTGGTCATTAGGTCATATACTATACGGTGTGTAAGTTCAGGCTTTCAGAGTTGAAATGTTTTGAAACCTTGGCTATTCCAATCTCTCTCTGTACTTTACAATTCATATATACAAACAAAACAAAAATGAAAACTGGCTAATAGTTGCTTTTAGACTTACCTGCAGAAAACCCATGCAGGACCCGAGCTACTATGACCATTTCAAAAGACTCAAGCATTTTACTTGTCAAAATGACTATGGCCGCTACGATGGCAATACAGTTGCTGCACATCATGGCCTTTTTCCTGTCAGAGAAAGCATTTACACTTAGATTTAGACAAACTTTATTGATCCACTTTATTGGACACTGTAGCTCTCATATCACCATATATTATAATAACAAAGAGCAAAAATATAAATGGTAATAATACAGTCTAAATAAGTACAAAAATAGCAACAGAGTGATGTCAAATAAGGCATAATTATATAAATACATATGGACAAGTTAAAATGAAATGTAGAAATATAGTAATCCTCATAAGGTCATAAGGAGAAACAGTGCCTTTAGCCTGCAGGAAATTGAAAATAAATGCAGTTTTGGATTATCTCTTACCTTCCAAGCTTGGATGATATGAATCTGATACTGAGAACCCCCAAAAGCCCTCCCAGTGCAAACATGGAGACTATAAGGGACCAGATCATGGTGCAGGTGTGAGGAGGGGGTACCTCTCCATAGCGGTTGAACCAACTGCTGTTGATAAAGGTTTGGATGAACTGCAAAAGGAGGCAAATATGTTACACTTATTGTGGCTCATGAATAAAAAAGTAGGGCTGGGCAAAAATATTTTTTTAAAATCGCGATTAATCGCATGAGTTCGAGCGATTAATCGCGATTAATCGCATGTTAGAAGGCTCAAGAAAAAATATTGAATGGACGTTTGTACTACTAATATATTTATTGAATATTTTTTATGCTGTGAGTAATGAACACTACACTAGTAATAATTTCTAGATCAGTGTTATAAACTTGGACTGATATTTCTTGGGAAACAAAGAGTTAATATAATGGAATGGAAATGGACCAATCACATTTTTTCTTCCAATGGTATCTGGGTAAATCAGTTACTCCAGCACTGAACTAAAGAAATAAGCTCAGCTCAGAGCGCACGGCTGGTCCGGCCAGAGCCGGAGCCGCGGAGGCTCGGGCACGTTGCATCTCACGTGGTCAGAAAAAAGTGAAAAAAGTGTAAAGAAAAGACGACAAACTTAAAGAAACCCTCGCGGTGGACTTTTTCAAAATAAAAGCCAGTGAAAAACAGACGTTTACAATAAAATAAATAAATTTTAACGGCGTTAAAATAATTGTCGGCGTTAATGACTTAATTAGTTAACACAAAGTTAACGCGTTAACGTGCCCGGCCCTAAAAAAAAGTCATATCATGTAGTAAATGAACTTACTGGCGAAGGCGAGCTCAGTCCTGTAATGTGGTAGCCCAAGTGAAAGCTCCCTCCTACTCCCAAAACGATGATGAGGTACACTGCATTGCCCCGCGTCTTAAACAAAGGGTTTTGATGTCAGTTGACTTAACTATCATCAAATTAATACAATAATGAATTAAATTAATTCAATGATACATTTATATAGGGCCTTTCAAGACACCCAAAGTGCTTTATTTGTTAATTCACTAAACACTCACTGGTGGTGACCTGGGACAGACTGACAAAAGTGAGGCTGCCAATCTGAGCCATCAGCCCCTCTGACCTCTACCAGCCCCTCTCACACACACACACACACACACACACACACACACACACACACACACACACACACACACACACACACACACACACACACACACACACACACACACACACACACTTTTTTGTTTGTTTTGTAGGCTGTATATGGCAAAAATCTAAGAGTTAATCATTTTTGTAATTTACAAAGTCAATATGTAATTTTGAACCCAACAAAACACCCCCAATGTCTTTGTTTGTTTGTTTTTCTTTTTTCAAATTTACTTTAATCAAAAACAAAAAATGGCCCAAAGTCCATATTCACACAGAATATCCACACTGATAGTCCCACTGATCACAAACAGAGTAAAAAATAAAAAGTTCTGTAATAGAATTCTCACTTTTATTTTTCTATTTTGCAGTAGGTGGTATGTGACAAAAACTGGAGTCTAAGGGGTCAATACATTTTCATAATTTATAATTCCAATATGTAATTTTAAAGAGACCCCCTTCACAGAAAACAAACAAACAAACAAAACATCATTGAAATATATTAACATGTGACAATTAGATGGCAGTTTAAAAACACACTGGGAGTGTACACACTTCACTGAGACACAAGGGTTAACACAACTGTATTTATTCACACATGGACGAGCTGAAGCAGACAAATGGGAAGTGGCCACTATTTTAATTGATAACATGTAAATAAATATAATAATTGTCAATGTGTGAATACAATTTAAAAAAATTTAAATTATAAAAGGTGCCTTGCCTACCAGCTGTTGCAGAAATGTGTCCATTCTGTGTCCTTGTGCATTCTAATATTGGACATTCACGGGGGGCTGGGATTTATGTCTGAGCATGAACTGTCATACAGTTTAGGTTATCATTAACTTTGTGTATTATTCAACAAACTGTGGTGCAACCTGCCAACTCTTGCTCTTCTAAAGAGCTTTGTCATGATCAGGGGTCTATATCAGAATGACAACACATAAATTATGAGATAATACAAACAAAACAAACAAAAACAAGTCACTTGATTTATCAGCAGTTTCACAAAGATTGTTCTGAGTGTGTCTACATATAACATTCTGTTGTATGCCACAAAATGTAGTAATTATTTGAATAAAAGACCTACCTGAAATGGGGTTACGAGGGCTCTTTTATCAGCTTGTTTTAAAATGAGAATGAAACAGTCATTAGAAATGTGTGCTTTTATTAGTGCTTCTGAGCCAAAAAATAGTGGTGAATACGAAGTACATGACAACTGGGACATTATAAATACATTTTACCCAAAATTTACACTGGACTCTTGGACTTCAGCAAACATTTTTGTAGACTGATCACAATCTAAAAACAGTCACAAGAGTAACAAAACAAAAAAACTAACTACAACAAATAAATAAGCTAACATGCTCGGCTATGTTCAAATAACCAACAACATAATGAGCTGTCAATGGTCAATGTATAAATGCTGGAACAAGACATCAATGCAATGAAACCATTGCTGCTCTTCTGCCTCCTGGTAAAGATGTGGCAGATGAAATTTCCCAACTGTGGGGCTTTGGCACCACATTGAAATATAACATTGTTTTATATTGAATCAACCTCATATTTATAATGATTGAATTAATGCAATGATGCAATATTGAGTCAGTGTCAAAACACCAATCACTGAATTTACCACATTCGTTGAACTTGAGTCAGCATTTTCACTGATGTCATATTTCACTAACAGGAATGTAAATCATCTAGAGAAGTGATGGATCAAAAGTTAGCCAAATTATTTTTGGTAAGTTATTTTGTGTACATTTACCTCAGAATTTTTGAAATTGTAAAATTGCTCCCAGTTGCACAAAGAATTCATTTATTTTATATATAAAGGGACATAACTAACCTGCTAGCCGCCACATTCCAAATAGGAAGTGTTCATGGGCGCGCTTCAGGCTCCAGTGCCTCTGTTTTTAATTTACTTTACATTGAGAAATTGTCACCACTCTTTCTGTAACTACTGCGGTGAGCCTTGTCATTTAATGAGCTTCCTCTAGAATCGTGAGCTTCATTTGACTGAATATGGGTGATCCCAAATTTTTTCTCAATAAATGGCATCCTTATTAAACTCTTGCAACATTTCTCATATTTCAGTGGAAATACTATCTAGAATGTTGCACACTATGGTATTATTTGTATTAATTAATTCGTTGTTTTTTTTTGGTTTTTTTTTTTACCATGAATTACTGGTATATTTTGTTGCAAATAAAATAGCTATTTTCTGCATTCTTACTGTGAGCAGGGTTGTTTGTCCACAGATCTAACCTGTAGCATGGTTGATGGCTGCATCACCTTGACTCCATTGAGATCATAGACTTTTTTACAGTCTGTGATTGAGATAGTTTAATGCCATCCTGTGGAACATTTCTAGACAAAGCTGTTGGCCCTCTACCACAAGTGCACATTTACGTCAATGTTACTTTAAAATATTGTAGGCCTATGCATAATATAAATTATTCTAACATTTTGTTAAAAAAGTTACTGGGGTAAAGTTAGCCGTGTGCGGCCCTCTGTACTGTATTTGTGTTTGTGCAGTTACCTGTTGTAACTACTGTTCCCAGCAGGGGGCAGTGCGCACACCGCAGGTCTCTTAAAATGCTCTTCTGTCCTCCGGAAGTGAACGGCCCAGTGCTTCCGAGTGTTTCCCGTAGTCATCGCAGACTAGCCGAGCAGCGCTGCTCCGCTCCTGTCTACATCTGTATAAATAGGCTGATTTTGTGTTCGCTTTGGGGGTAAAATGCCGCTCGAAAATCTAGAAGAAGAGGGTCTGCCTAAGAACCCCGACCTGAGGATAGCGCAGCTGAAGTTTCTGCTCACGATGGACGGGCACCGACAGGACGCCAAAGTAAAAAATGAATGGATGCAATCAAAGCTAACAGTGAGTTAGCATCTTTCTTCTGTTGTGCCATCGTATAATGCTTATCACAGAGTAGCCATATTATTCATATTATTTTATTTTAAGCTGTTTTTATTTTTGGGTAGACTGTTGGAAAGTAATTTTGATTCGTTTGCGTGTCCGTTTTGGAAAACAATTTATAGTGTCGCCAAACCTACAAAAACAACAATGCTCCGGCTGTGTCTTTAGTGCATAAAAAGGCCAGGGACCAGGTTACAATCATAACATTAGGGTTATAAAGACTGCTACTACAATTGTATTCTGTTATAAGAATATAAGGCTTTGTCTCCTTTAGACATGGCTCCATATTACGAGGGTCTGTGTAAAGAGCTGAAGTGGACGCTGGACACGGACCTGCTGAACAGAATGAAGAAGGCAAACGAAGAGGAGCTCAAGCGCCTGGATGATGTCCTGGAGGATGCAGAGAAGAACCTGGGAGAGAGTGAGATACGAGACGCCATGATGGCCAAAGCAGAATATCTCATTCGAATTGGAGACAAGGTACTGTCATTTATTAGCCTCATGATAAACTAACTAACTCCGTACTTTTAACTAAACATTAGTTAAGTTCGTTTTTTAAACAAGGATAATATCTAAATCTCAGAATGAGATTATCAATTGAGGTATGGCAGTGCATACCTCTATTGAGCCCAAAGTCACAGTTATAATTGTTATTGACATTTTTTTTCTGACACTATGATCTCTTTTTAAAGACATTTTGTATTGATACAAATGCCTTAAAGGCTGACTGGCTTTAACAACATAACTAGCAATATTAATGCTTTTTACATAATAGTTATAGATCATTTTGGTTGCAATTGTTGTAATCTTTCTATTTCAGAGAATGCACAAACTGTCTGTATTACATGAATTATAATATTACTGATGCATCACAATACTGATTATTACATTAGTATTAGTATTAGTATTATTACATTGCTGCTCATCATTTTTTCTACATGTCCACAGGAGGGCGCCTTAACTGCATTTAGGAAGACCTATGACAAGACTGTGGCTCTTGGACATAGATTGGACATAGTATTTTATCTGCTGAGGATTGGACTCTTCTACATGGACAGTGACCTCATCACACGCAACTCAGAGAAAGCCAAAAGGTAAGGCACTCCATCATATGTAACACTGCTTGTAATAAATAAGCCAAACATTTGGGGGTAAGTAAAGAGTATAGTACTGTATATACTGTATTAAGCACACCTCTCACCTTGTTTTCCCCTCTGTCTGTAGCCTCATTGAGGAGGGTGGTGACTGGGACCGGAGGAATCGCCTGAAGGTCTACCAGGGCCTGTACTGTGTGGCCATTAGGGATTTTAAACAAGCAGCAGAGCTCTTCCTTGACACTGTGTCTACGTTCACTTCTTATGAGCTCATGGACTACAAGACCTTTGTCACATACACAGTCTACGTTTGCATGATCGCACTCAAAAGGCCAGACCTGAGGGAAAAGGTTGTGTATATGTGTTGTTACAAGCATGTAATAGAAGTATTTTAGAGATTTACACATGTATGTCTTCTTTCACAGGTAATAAAGGGAGCAGAAATCCTGGAGGTGCTGCACAGCCTACCTGCTGTTCGCCAGTACCTTTTCTCCCTGTACGAGTGCCGCTACTCCGTCTTTTTTCAGTCACTAGGTAAGAAATCATTTTAACATGATAGGTATTTTGAAACTATATAGTAAGTGTAGTATTATGCTGTAGTGAATTCAGTTTATAACACATCTTTTATAACATGGTGTATAAGTGTCACAATAGTAGGAAGTCTCCATAGCCTAATCTTTGTGCTTCTGTTATTTTTTTGTTAAAACAGTTAAATCTAATTCTCTTTTTAGACCTTGAGTCTTGTTCAGAGGTGTAGTAAACCACAATGCTTGTATGTCTTGTTTTGTGCATTATAGCCACAGTGGAACAGGAGATGAAGAAAGACTGGCTGTTTGCCCCACACTACCGCTACTATGTGAGAGAGATGAGGATCCAGGCGTACGGCCAGCTGCTGGAGTCCTACCGCTCCCTCACTTTGGGCTACATGGCTGAGGCCTTCGGGGTCAGCACGGAGTTTATTGACCAGTAAGTGCACTGAAGCACTTTGCTTATGTCCTCAGTGAATGAGCACACTTCACTTAATTATAGATTGCACAAATGTAAGAGCACAAAGCAAAATCTGATTACATTGTCTTAAGCAACTACAAGTTTAACATTTAATGATGTATAAAACTGGTTGCACTCATGCTCATAATTGACCTGTTAAAATTAGGGACAATTTGCAGGAAAAAAAAAAAGACGTTTGTGCAGTAGCAGTTAAGTTTATTCTGTTGTGACTTTTGAGCATTTTTATAGCAATCTAATGTTTTTCAGGGAACTGTCTCGCTTCATTGCTGCTGGACGTCTTCACTGTAAAATTGATAAGGTTAATGAGATTGTGGAGACCAATAGGTAAAGTCAATATAGTTTTCTTTTCTTTGGTATTTGTTTTTGTGTCTGATCTCTAATGTGTGCTTTTCACTGCAGACCGGACAGTAAAAACTGGCAGTACCAGGAAACCATAAAGAAGGGCGACTTGTTGCTGAACAGAGTCCAGAAGTTGTCCCGAGTTATAAACATGTAGCCCCTTAAGACCTTTCATTTTCACCTTACATTATTTGGAAAACCAAACTTGTATTTTGTCTGACAATATTGTGTGTATATATAATAAAATTTGTTAAACAGAATGCATGTTTTCTGTAATGATGAGGCAGAGACAGGATTTCATATAAATAGCAGTATAAATTATTTTATTTACAGAAACTTGTTACAAAACAAATACTATACAATCTTTTTTTCTTTAAATATTAATTCTATTCTATGTTTGTTCATGAATTACATAGCAGCCAATACATAAGTCCAGCTGAAAATTGATAAAGAAATTTATACACACCTTTACATAATGAAGGGTTGATTTCTTTTTCCTTTCATAAATCAATTCTCTTTCACATTCCAATAATATGAAGCTAATAATAAAAAAGAAAACATCTGTACAGTGTGTCCATCTTCTGGAAACAGTGTAAAGATGCGTAGGGTTAAGCTGAAAAGGGTTTTACAAACTAATTCAACGCCATGCAAAGGCTACTGAAAAGTTGTCAGTAAAACTTCAAACTGGGCATCTGACAAAAGCTCAGTTTGACCACATACAGGGATAGGCAGAAAATGACTCCTAAACACTTAACATTCAAGTAAGGTAACAACCCAAACAACACTGTCCTCAAACAGTCAAAGGTGAAACTAATTCAGGCACTTTCTTAATTGAGTATTTCATTTAAAAGCTGCAAACTACTTGTTTCAAAGCTGTCATTTCAATTGCTAGTTTGGCAACAATATGTGAGCAGTTGACTGTTTGAAGCTTTCCTATTCCTTGTGATGATTGCTCAAGTCCCTTCAGTCTTAAAAAGAACACTCACGTTTCAACTGTGAAATGTGTTTAAGGTACTCCGTCTGCTAAATGTATGACTGATGTGAGTTCTACAATGGGCACAACTTAAAGCCAGCGGGACCTCAAAATCACAATCTCACACACGCTTCCATTATGTTGATTCAGAAGCGACAAAATGTGTTGGAAAAGTACATGTGATAAGAGACCTTGAACTATGAAAAACAGGTTTTCAGACAGACTTTGCTACAGCGGCAACACTGTTCCTTAAAGGATTTCAGTACATAATTCATGAGATGCTTCACTTTCTGAATATCAGCATATTGCATCATATAGACTTGGCAGTGAACCACTTTAGAAGATCAAGTTATGACTATCTCATTTTCAAAATAAATAATGACTCATCTTAAAATTGTACCAAAAATTCTGCATGTACGAAAAAGGCCTGTGCAAAAATACATATTTCACTATGTACAATTTGTTAACAAAATACATATTCTCAAATATGGATATTTCAAAACCTTTCACACGTAAGCTGTAAGGAAAACTCTAAATGATGTTTTCTTTAAAAATGTATCGTTTATACTTTCTATTCTGTGAAGGTTCAACAAACAGTGCCAAAAGAAAATGTCACGTGAAGCCATCTTCATGAATCCTGCACTATTACACTCACTTGAGACATCTCAGAGTATTGCCTGATTTAAGACGCCATATGGACAAAGGAAAGTGTAGTTTAATACTAATACTAATACTAATAATGACAGTGTTCTGATGAGGCTCGGGTAGTGGTTTTACACAGGACATAGTCATCCCCACAGAAACAGGTGAAATGCATAATCTTCCTCCAGTTAAGACAATGTACCTGATTCCCTGTAACGCTAGAGAAAACTCTACAGTACACAGATGTCAAAGTCACTCCACTGTTTGGGACACAATCTCCTTAACAACAGATGCTCTGACTGCATTTATGCAACACTAAGTGGGTCAGACAGCCAAGCATTTAGATAAACAAATTGGCAAGTTGGCAACGTTTGGCTTGGATTTTGGAGCAGTACCTGTGGAGAAAATGGGTATATTGAGAGCAGTTTCCAGTTGGGGATAGGTCTACTACTCATTAGGAGCTGTGATGTAAAAGGATATAGACAATGATCAGGTGTCTCTAAGGCCAAGCTATCATTTGATAAAAGAAAGAATTGAAGGGGCACAGTAGGTGTCCTTTCACATTTGTAAGCAGAAGCACATCTACAAAGACGTGTAGTTCAGTGTAAAAGCTTATAAAGAATCAACACTTGCATAATTGTTGGGTAATGAAAAACGGACTGGGTCACCCTTTCTCTTGAACCACGCACAGCCTGTATTACATGTCAGCAAAAGCAAGAAAAATGGAAGGTGATCTTTTTTTCTTTTTAGCCAGCGGTTGGTCATTTAGCTTCCTTTGAAAGGCTACTGATGTGGTTGTAAATAAATCCAGTAATTCACCAGAATCAAATCAGATCATGAGAAAAATACTTACATCCAACTGTCAGGGTGGTTCTATGGTTATTGTGTTCTGTGCCAACAGCTGATCTGAAATCTGTTTTGACAACATTTACTTTTAAAGACAGTTATAGTCTGGACTACCCTGTTTAATTTAGAGTAACACAATCACACACCAACTAAAATGTTGGTTTATAATAAATAAACAAATTTTATAGTTGATTAGGCTTTGTTTAAAGAGATCAATAGCCAAAGAACCAGCCATGGACATACACAAACGCACGCATTCATTGTCCACACAAAAGATTGGCTCACTGTCTTCCTCATCATTAACATGAGATTTGTAAATTTGGATTTGAACTGAACCGATCCATGGCTGTGTGTCTTGTTCCTCCTCTCGTTATCCTGACAGGAAGACCTCTCTGTATGCTGGGGAGACACTTGCTTCTGGGTCATTGGAAAAGTCTACAGACCCAAGCACAGATGATTTGTCCCCATACAGTGCTGCCGCCACCCCAACCACCCCAACCCACACATGGCTTTGGGAGAATTTGTAAGGACCACACTGACTTCACTGAGCAGCCCAGATCATCTCCACCCTGAGGACTGTGGGAAGCTGAGAGTAATGTGGGTTTGACGTTTGAAGGCCTCATTCAGACCAGAGCAGTGACCACTGCTCTGGGTGATTCCCCGTCCATCGTTACACAGGGGCAACACTGTTGTCAAGGACGAGCCTTTGGCTGTGGACACAGAAGAGAGGTTGAGAGGTAAAGTTGGACAAAGCCAAAGACAGAAGGGAGATGTGAGCAGATAGGATTCTCCCAAATGTAAGATATGCTCATTTTAGACTCTTGCATTTCTTTGTCTATTTGGTATTTTATAACCATGTATAAAATATATATATATATATATATATATATATATATATATATATATATATATATATATTATATATATATATATATATATATATATATATATATATATATATTTTATATTATAAAATAAGTATATATTCATTTTCAAATGTTTTATTTTTCCAATTCCAAAAAAATATTTAATTCGACAGTTTAACCGACTGAGGAATTGCACCAATAAAATGCTGAATGATTAAGTGGATGTCACCCTCTGCTGGCAACAGTGGGAAATGGACATTGTGCAAACATAAATGAGCACACTGCTAAGAAATGAAATTAGCAGAATATGCCTGATACAACAGGTGTACTGCCTCATAGAAGCACACAGGGTCCATTTTATTTTACAACCACACAAGTGGCTAGACTGGTTCTTTCAAAATGTCCCATGCAACTGACAACGCAGATTGTAGTATGAGACGTCTACAGCCAGTCCTCTGCCAGTAAAGGTTTGTGATTTGGTGTTTTTAATAAGACAAAAAAAAGGTGATTAGATTTTTTTTTTTTTTCCATATCACCCAACCCTAATTTAAGATATTAGTAAGTGAATTCTGCACACAATAACCTGCACTTGCTAATCAGTTAAATGTGAAGTGCAAAAGTGCTCACCTGATGTGAATTGTTAGGTAGCCCTGGAGTGCCTGGAATGCTCCGCCCATGCTTCCCATGGATGTTGTTAATCGCAGGCGACTTTGACATCTTAGGCCTGCCTGGCCCTGCTCCCCCGCCTCCGCCCAGACCTCCACTGTTCACACTGCTGGAAGCAGGGGAGCTCTTGCGCTTCTTTCCTTCCAGGCGAGCGTCAGAGTGGTGACTGAAGCTGGTGTGGTGCTCCGATGATGACGACTGGTGATGGACAAAGGGCCCCAGAGACAGAGTGGAGTCACTGCTGTTCATCACGACGCTCATGCGTTTGATGGACTCTGCTGGGCTGCCTGACGGGGGTCCGCGGGCAGGCGGGCCTGAGGAGCCCCCGGTGGAGCCCATAGATGCATCTGCCTTGAGGCTGAGGGAGTTGGTCCGCACGGTGGGGCCACAGTTGAGTCCCACACTGTGAACGCCGCTGTGAGATGATGAGGAGGCTGAGGGTCCAAGTGAGCTGTGGTGGAAAGTGCTCCCTGAGCTGCCCACATTTGCACAGTTCTTTTTGAAAGAGGAGGAGTAGTTGGCATTGGAGGAGGATTCAGATGAGCTGTGGGATGAAGTTAAAAGAGAGCTGTTCTTTCTTTTCTTCCCCGAGCTCAAGTTGGTGCTACTACTATTACTGTTGGTTCCACTGCTGCCTCCGCCTGTGGGGTTAGGCGTGACAGGGGCAGTAGAGCCAGAGGGGATGTCTTTGGGCCTGAACGAAGCTGACCTGGTAGTGTTGCTGCTGGACGAGCGGGACTTGAGAGAGCGGCCTGAGGCGAGGTGCGGAGCAGAGGATGAGGATGAATGGGCTGAAGGCATCTGCGGCGACGAAGACACTTGTCGGGCCTGCGTGGTGCCATAGGCCGGGTGTTCTGCCCCGCTCTGAGGGGAGCTGCGGGCATTTAAGGTGGTTCCATAGGAGAGCACAGACTTGCCCTCATAAGACTGGCTATAAGGGGACTGGGGCAAAGGGGCAGGGGGGCCCAGGAAGCCTGACGAGGGAGTGCTACTATGGTAGTTTGTGCTTGCCCGATGGGTAGGTGCAACAGAGGAGGAGTTCTCCAAGGCAAAGGGAATTTTCCTACAAGACACAATTTCACAATTGTGAATTATTCCTCAAAATAGTACAGTATGACCATTTCAAATACACTAATAATAAGGGTGCCAACTTACTTCCACATCTGAGAATTAACATGCTTGTCCATCATTGTGGTTAAAGCACAACGCACTGTGTCCCACCGCCGGTCAAATGAATAACAACCTCTTCCATATAGTCGGCCTCCAA